TAGATTTACAATAGTATGATAACAGCAATATCTAATATCATCACAAATATCATCACAAAATTTCATTAGTGTGATACTTAGAGATTTGACGACCATGATCATGATAAAAGAATCTGTGCAATGATGACAACGTCAACAAAGCCTATAAGAATAATCAATATATATATATATAATTATATATCACCACAGCATAATTTATCCTCATTGAGATACTGATAACTTTCGTTTTAGAAATTCCATCATGATCAACAACCACCGGCTAAATCCCAGCTCGTTTACGAAACGCTCTTGTTTAAGCCGTCATTTGTATCCTCTCGTTTATCTAAATCTGCAGGATTTCCCAACATTTGAGTGTAATAGCCAGCCAGTTTCCTGTCACAGTTTTCCTTAAATCGGTTCATTGAAACCTCAGTATAGTTGGTTTCCGATTTATAATTCCATGATATCGCCATCTAGTCTAAATGGTAGATATGTTATGATATATGCCATAAAATCCATGCATTCCTTAGATTCCACAAGTCATCATAAATTCATATACTTATATTATATCTATATGATATATATATATAATATAATATGATATATAATATGATATAATATAATATGATATAATATAATATGATATAATATAATATAATATGATATATTGTAATATAATATAATATAATATGATATAATACAATATGATATAATATAATATAATATGATATAATATAATATAATATGATATAATATAATATGATATAATATAATATAATTTGATATAATATAGTATGATATAATATAATATATATAATATAATATGATATAATATGATTTAATATAATATAACATAATATAATATATTATAATATAATATAATATAATATAATTTAATATAATATAATATAATATAATATAATATATATAATATAATATGATATAATATGATTTAATATAATATAACATAATATAATATATTATAATATAATATAATATAATTTAATATAATATAATATAATATAATATATATAATATAATATGATATAATATGATATAATGTAATATAATATAATATAATATAATATAATATAATTTGATATAATATAATATGATATAATATGATATAATGTAATATAATATAATATAATAGAATATAAAATAATATGATATAATATAATATGTATAATATGATTTAATATAATATAATATGATATGATATGATATGATATGATATATATATGTGAAAAAATGGATAAATGGGGGTTTCAGGGCGTATATGTTTGTATGTTGCTTGTTATGATTTTGTGTTGGGGTTCAATGTTTCATCTTCGCCTTTGATGTTTTTTCAGGTGGGGTTTTGGGGGGTCATTTTGATGCTAAAGTGATGTGTCAATGTTTGGTTTGGATGAGGGGGATAATTGTTGAGGTTGTTGTGTTTTATGTCTATGTTTGGGGTTAGAGGATGGGATCGATGTGTCCTTCGTCCGCTCTGTGCTGAAAATGATCATCCGCGTTCAACGTCTTGTCGGGAGACCCAGTTTCAGAGAACAAGTGTTGCAAACAAATCTCCAGACATGTGAAGCCTTGCGAAGCAAGAGTCTGGAAAGGGTCAAAAGGTCCCTTAGCCTTGGGCATGCAATGTTTGTCACAGCTTTCTGGCTGAAGTATTGATGCCCTTTGTCCGCCCGCAGTCATTGGAACTCGTAGCAACTCCAACAATGATGTTGTCGTTCTATCGACTGGCCCGCGTTTGCCTTGTCGTTGTTTTGGTGCTGTGGAGCTCTTCGTGTTTTAGCTTGCCAGACGCAGCGCGTCCAGTGAGGACAGCTCGCCGTTGTCAACCCCCAGGTGACCCGCTCCTTCAAACTGCCAATGCGATTCCAGAGCCTGACAGGCGCTTGGTGGCACTCCAGCAACTGATGAAACTGGAGAAGGAGAAACTGGAGAAGGACGTTCTGGTTCTGGAGAAGGAGTTGCTGATTTTCGAAAATCGCAAGCTCAACGAGGATATCATGCGAGCACAAGGACTGATGACCGCCCGACGCGTCTTTGAGCGGGTGGTCCAACTTGGATGGAACGAGCAGCTCGCAAAGCGCAAGGCCAAGGGCAAGTGCGTCATAGCGAATGCAGTGCCCGTTATCGCCCAGAACCAAAATGCCGGCCGCTGGTCGCAGACTCTCATCAAGGCCGCTCTGAAGTGTGTCGCCGGGCCGAAGCCTTCAGAAAAGACATTGCAGGACATGTGGACCGAACTCAGCTCCAGAGTCCACAATGATGCGTGGGCTGACGATGTGAAAATTGAGTACAACTTGTCGAACTCAACTCAATGTATAGCTAGGGAACTTTGCACAGAAATGGGGTTGAGAGTCATGGGGGAAGAGGAATAAGAAAGTTTCACCACGTGCGCACGTGTTGCCTCCCACGCTAAAAGGAGAGAGAGAGAGAAAACCAAACCGACCGTCCTAAATCGCAGGAAATTTCAATGCCCCTAGCTTGCAATATTTCCTTGATTCCCCCTTCAGAATCTTCAGATTGAGGCTTACTCATCACCCATCACATCACCTGCTCCTTTCCACAAAGGTGGTTGAGTCCTCATGCTGTTATTCAATCACGTGACTGGGAGAAGTCATCGCCAATTCGTCAATGTTAGATGGGGTGCATCCGAAGGTTGCCAAGGTTTGGAACTTTTGCGCTGTTAGGATGCTGTATTTTCTAGGCATAAACTCTTGCCTCCAGCTCCCAGACTGAGGTTATCAAGACAATACTGTTGAGACCTACAATGAGGTCTTGAAATGGAGAGAGAAATTGAAAGGTTGAAATGGAGAGGGGTTCAAAATTTTGATGTGGGAAGGTTTAGGTGCAATTGAATGTTATGGTGAATTTTTGGATCCATAAATGCCAACCGCCTTTTAAGGAAGAAAACACAATCCAACTAATCGCATACTGTAAATGTCAACTATTGTATGGTTAACGCATCCCTCCAACTAATGGCTTAAATGCCAACCATTTTGTGGGGAAACATCCAGGGTAAACATATGTCTTTGTGCCCCCCACACACCCGCAAACCACACATACGACTAGATATTCCCCTTTAACCCCCCTTGTTCATCCTGTTTGTCAGAAGGGATACCGAACGACTGCGGCGGCCTTCGGAGGGAATGGTAAGGGTTATTGTTTTTTTCAAGGGAGATTTAAAGACACCACTGGGAAGGAGCGAACCACTCTTTGTTGTGGAAGGTTCCAAGGCATACCGCTCTAGTGGTGTTGGTTGATTTTACTTTATTTGTTTAATTGATGTTTATTTCAAAGGCAAAGCCTATCCCGCTAACCCCAGCCATCAAAGACGTGGTTGGCGTCCCAACAAACAACAAGCAATGACGCCCACCACAACATCGATGACGATGAGTTCAACAGTGGCAGGAACAGTATTTGAACATGTGTCCTGAAATGGCTGTTTTTGAACCCTTTCCTCATCATTTTAGGACACCTCATGTTTTTGACAGTTTACCCAAAGATACTTAAAGACATATCGCCTTATATGTGGTAATTGATGGAAAGAAGCAAGAAATGGACGAAGACGTCTTTGACCAAATGGTTGAAGCACTGCACCAATCCAACAACCCCCACAACCCACCAACCCAAGCAACCACACGATGGAAACCTGACCGAAGTTATGACAAGAAACCATTAGACCCAGACTATTTTTCAAAATACTATCAGAAGAAACTATCAAAACCCTTCCAATGCCCAGACTGCGGACAGGTAATCAGTAGCAAATCCAATCTTTCAAAACACCGTCAAACCAAGAGATGTATGAGCAAACAAACCCACTGTTGAAATCCGAAACCTTCTCAATAACAACGATTATGTTTATTCAGAACGTTTTATTCACTATTCATTTTTGTTTGTTTAACACAGTTTTTTGACCCTTGATGTATTGGAACATAGTATTGAGACATTACATGGTTACAAAAAGGACATTCAATTTTTTCAAGGTGTTTCTGTAATATCTTATCTTTATTTTTGTAGTAGTATTCCCGCGCCACCTCCTTTCTCTCTTCTTCCGTCCTATGTGGAATAACCTTATTGACACAATCAGTGTTTTTGATGTAGTGCCCTTCTCGTCTCAATAGTTCTTCCTTACAATTACAGGGGTAGTTTTCAATCAACTCAATCTTACAATCTTCAATACCAAACTCATCAAATATTTCAAACACTGGCAAATTCTTATTTGTTTTTCCTGTTTTGTAAGAACTGTATTTTGCTCTATGCCTCTCAATTCTTTTACTCAAACTTTCACAAGTGCTCCCTACATAGGCTTTGTTGTATCCAATGTCAGTTATTTTGTAAATCTTTCCGTTTTCATACCTGTTCATACCTATATTTACCATAAGTTCCCATTTCTTTAAACCATTTTTCTCAAATTCAATTCTGGTGTTCTCACGTTGGACTTCAACCCAGAACCCAATGACCCAAAAACTGAACGAGAGCCCAAAACTACTTAAAGAAATATTACTTTATATAGTAAGGAGAAAATGGCAGTGGATACAAGGTTGAAAGAAAATTTTACTGTTGAAACTCAATCCAATCAACAATCCAATCAACCGCAACATCCTCAACAAACAATGGAAACTGAAAAACTACTTAAAGAAACATCCACTAATAATAATATAGAATATACTTTAATGGACACTTCACAGCAGATTGTTTTAGATTATCTTTTATCATCCGAACAGGGTGAGATATTGAAACGGAATGGACAGGAACTCAAGAAACTCAAGATTGGAGAGAAGACCTACAACTTTGAAAGGGGGAAACCCATTTCAAAGAGGTTGATTACCAAATTCAACAAGATTAAGCAGACAATGGATTACAAAAAGTATGAACTGAAAGAGAAGAGAGGCATTAGGTGGGTCAATCTTGACAAGAACAAAGCCTTAACAGGTATTCAAATGAGATACAAAGCAACCACCACCAACGAACAATCTGCTTTCAAGGGTTATGTCAATTCATTTGCCATCACCAATGTCAGGGTTAGAGGCATAAAGGCGATACAGTATCTCAAATACCAAGATTTGAGATTGAAAGAGTATTTGAGGAAACATAAGGGAATGAAAGTTATTTTACAGGTGTCCGCCACTATGAAGAGCAAGAAAACCAACGAAGAGATAAGGGAGAGCATCAGAAGTAGAAGATACAACATCACCAACGAAGAGGAAATACCCCAAAAGTTAAATCAAATGGCAACTGACATAGAGTTTCAGTTAGACAAGATGGAGATGTCAGAGAGTGGATTGGTGTTGAAGCATATTGATAAACTGAAATTCAACTATGACAAATACAATCCAACTCGTGGAGGTTCTTACATTGAACTACCTGAATGGTTGAAACTGAAACGAGCCTGTATCAACATTCAAAATACAGATGACAAATGTTTTATGTATTCCATTCAGTGCGGTGTTTGTAAAGTCTATGAGAAAGACCATCCAAACAGAATTTACGGATACAAAAATCTAAAGGACGACCTCAACTGGGATAATGTCAATTTTCCAGCATCAAATCTTGACATAGACATTTTAGAACAGAACAATCAAGACAAAATATCAGTCAATGTTTATTACATTGATGATGAAGATGGTAAGCAATCAATCCTATTATATAAGAGGACTACAGTTGTCAAAGCAACTCACCACATAGACCTACTGAAAATAACTGATGGAGACAATCACCACTATGTTTATATCAAGGATTTTAACAAGTTGATGTATCAACAGGCTGGTAAGCGGAAAGCAAAGAAGTTTATTTGTCATCACTGTTCGGGTGTGTTTCATTCAGAGGATGATTTGACTAATCATAAGGAAAAGGGATGTATGGCAGTAGAAGGGCAAACTATAGAGATGCCAAAGTTTGACCCAGAGAAGCCTGACAAGTTCTTCGTCAAATTCAAGAACCACTTTAAGAATCTAAAAGCACCATTCGTTATATATGCTGATTTTGAACGTTTGACTACAAAAACGGGAACGGTAAGCACCAAACCAATCAAGACAGACAAATACCAACATCATAGACCCTGCGGTTTTATGATAAATGTTGTCAATTCAATTGATGGTTCAAATGAACCGTTCTTGTATAGAGGTGAGGATTGTATGGATGCCTTTGTTAAAAAGATGGTTGAAGTAAAGGATAAGATAATGGAGAAGATGAAAGAAAACAAGGACATCATTATGAAGGATGAAGACTGGAGGGACTTTAAAACCGCCACTAAATGTTTCATTTGCGGTGAGGACTTCAAGGAAGGAGACAAAAAGTGTAGAGACCATTGCCACTTTACAGGTAAGTATAGAGGATGTGCCCACGATGATTGTAATTTACAGTTTTCAATGCGTTATTACAAAATTCCGGTCTTCCTTCATAACTTGAAGAACTATGACAGTCATTTAGTGATTGAAAGAGCAAATGAACTGTCAGAAAATGCTAAGATAGATGTAATAGCACCGAACAGTGAGAAGTTCATAACCTTCGCATTCAAGAATATGTGTTTCAAAGACAGTTTTTCATTCTTATCGTCCTCATTGGACAAGTTGGTCAAGTTGAGCAAGTATGAAGATGGACAGAAGAAAGAAAACTGGCAAAACAACTTCAAGTTCAGCAAAAGAAACCCCTATGTAAGCAATGACAATGATTTAGACTTACTCACTGACAAAGGTGTCTATCCATACGATTACTTCACTTCATTAGAAAAAGAAGATGAAGAGATTAGAGACTTTGTAAGGTGTCATCCTGTGCCTTCACCAGATGATGAGGAAGGAGACAAATTTTGGAAGAAAGTAATTGACAGGTTGAAAAACGACCAAGGATTAAATGCTATGATAATATATTCGTTTGTAATTTTTGACATTGTGAAAAAGATGTATGAAAACCTCACTGATAAAAAGGTCATCGTTGATTATGGTAAGGAACTTAACCGTGATGGAAAATGGATGCTATGGCAATAAATCAAACTCTATTAGCATTAGCAATAGATGAACTGAATGATACAGACAAACCTATCACAAGTCAAGTCAGGATAATTGAACACTGGTGGGATGGAATAGGAAAGTGGAAAGCATAAATGATTAATTCACAATATCTTAACAAAATATATTATGAAGTAATCACCCGCCCAAACACAAACAAAAACCCCAACAGTCTAAACAAATCCTACCCCCATTCAATCCAAACGTTGACACATCACTTTAGCAACAAAATTACCCCCAAACCCTACCTGAAAAATCATCAAAGGCGAAGATGAAACATTGAACCCCAACACAAAATCATAACAAACAACATACAAACATATACGCCCTGAAACCCCATTTTTCCATTTTTTTATGTGATTTATCTATACTTCTTATGTATATTTACATGTCCATCTCTCAGCCGGTGACCTAGGTCTCGGTCTCCCCTGCTGCCCGGTCCCCAAGCGCCGGGCACGCAGAAAGCCCAAGGCGCGACCGGGCCGTGTCCAACAGGAAACTAAGATACTAAGATACTATTTATAATATATATATAATATCATGTAATATAACACAGTATAATAAACCATAACATATAGTATAATATAAGATAACATGATATAACATATCATAACATCACATAACATGATACAATGTAGTGTAGTATAGTATAGCATAGCATAGCATAGTATAGTATAGTATAGTATAGTATAATAATGTATAATATAATATACTATAATATGCAATATAGGAAGCCCTTGCAAGTCAAAAGTTGGTGACAGACAGACATACACCATTATATATCTATGATCCCCTTGAATGCGTCCCAATTCACGGTGCGGCCTAGGAAAAATCGGCGCAAGTTAGATTTTGATGGGAATATGAATGCCCATTTCGGTTGTTAAGCGCTGACTTATATCCACAATTTATGGGGTGTTTATATATATAGGGGATGGGATTAGTTCAATATGCTATGATCTCTGTTGACGCTTAAATCAACTCCCACACTTGGATGAAGGGAATATTCACACGGTGGCACACCCTTACAATTGCTGGGAAACACCATGGTTACCAGTTAACTTTCCCAGAAATCCAAGCAAACGTTCAGGCAATCAGCCTGAACAACAGCATGAAGTGGATTATCCCGGTCTTTAGTTCACATTCAACCATCTTTCTTGTTGATTAAACCCCTGAAACGCCAGCTTTTTGGTTTTTCTCAAACCTCAATTCACCTCAATTCTTACCATTGCCTTGGCTGGTTGGCTCAGATGGCGGACATCGCCGGCGCTTGCTGCTGTCTTGTCATCTCCAAGACCTGTTGAGTGCTGGGACGAGCGTCGAGCCAGAGGGCCTGGCATAAAAAAAATCCCAATTTCCCGTTGGTTTATACATGTTTATCCGTGTTGAACAAGGGATTCTATGTACCTATTGTTCATAGGATATGTAATGATATTGTACTACCTATTCATAAATTTCCCGTTGTTTTATAAATGTTTATCCGTGTTGAACAAGGGATTCTATGTACCTATTGTTCATAGGATATGTAATGAGATTGTACTACCTATTCATAATTTTCCCGTTGGTTTATACATGTTTATCCGTGTTGAACAAGGGATTCTATGTACCTATTGTTCATAGGATATGTAATGATATTGTACTACCTATTCATAAATATATTATTCTTAATGATCTGTTTGATATCTGGGTTCTACTACCTCTTCAAAAAGTACGTATCATTGAAGTAAAATCTGGGAATAACTATGAACGAAGCAGTAGAACCGTTTGCAACCAGGTTCCTGACGATTTGGACTTGCTGCGATTTTGACTATAGATAAGATAGATATTGAAGTCTTCTTGGCTCCGTTACACATGAGAATCTTCGGATTGAGCTAAAAAAGAATCGAGAAATGGATTTCATCATCAAACATGGGAGATTTATGCATTAAGAACTTGCATGATCAAGAACATGGGGATGAATTTGGGTGTCGTTTACAAAAAGGCCGCGGGGGTACCTTAGGGCCACCTAGATGTGTGAAGATTATATACGTACATATGTATATCCATATAATATATAGACCCAGGAAGTCAAAACGCTATTATATCTATGGCCTTTCCACGTGAGGCTATTCTTAGCGCATGACATTTGAGTAGTCCTTGTCACGGTCTTGCCGACTTGCAGACAGTTTGACAACTGCAGTTTGCCGGAAGTGCTGCCCTTTGTTGTTTGACACCTGTAGAAGGTGACTTGTTCAGCCCTGGAAACCAAAGTTCGGTAGTTCGCTTGTATGCTAGTTGTTTGTGCTGAGGTGAAGATGCATGAGTTTCCCACCAGTGTTGGGTGGGTCCTCAATTGTCCCTTCTCATATCGCAGGTCATTGCTTTGGTTACAATTAAATCATATTAAAATACATATACGTATTAAATCCATATTGCGCAAATTCACATGTTGGATCATTCTATCAAAATGAACCTCCCTTTCTTGGTGAGGAGTAAACCCTCCATGGACTGCGTTGGAACCACGTCAGAACCACGTGACAAAATAGGTTTTCCACGTCAAAAAATAGGCTTTCCACGCCCAAACCACGTATAATAAGCATTAGCTGCCTTCACCCTACTATATTGCATTTTCATCTCAGTTAACCAAATGATGACTGCTTGTGTCGCGCTTGTTCCCCGTTTACAAAGTAGTGCACTGTGAAATAGCGGACGTGCTCAAACCTCTATGCAATTCCATCGCCGCGGCCTACCAGGGTTCGTTGCGTGCACATGCTTTGTGGTCCACTAGTGAAATATTGCCATTTCACACCTCAGCTCCCTTCAGCATGAAATCTGTGCACATCACATAGGGAAACTACATATACAATTGTGTACTACCAAAATAAAACCAAACTTGCAGCAAAAAATGACAGAATGGGCCAAGGCATTGAGCAAGTGCTGGGGTTCCCGCCAGAAAGGGCAAAACAGTGCCAAAACATAGCCGTTTGTAAAGACTATTCCAAAAATAGCCTTGGACTTCCAGGGTAGATGTGAATAAATGCACTAGTATGTACATATTATATATATATACACATATATATATACATATACATATATATATACATATAATATAGATATGTATGTCAATCCATATGAATTTTCTTTGTCCACTTAAACGGTAGATATGCTGTTTCATGACCAGTGCACATGTTCAAAACATATGGCAATCGATTGGAACTGGTAGCCATTTTTCAGGCAAAGCCACTTTGGGTGTGAGTGCAAAGCATCCCTGCAAAAATTGGATGCATGGATCCATATGCTTTAATATAGTTTAACTATGTTTTACATGACATCAATCCCACACTTCAATCTAGATGAAGCGTGATGAAACCAAGTTCTATCAATCTAGGGATAAAGGTATCCAAATCTTTTCGCTGAGAGATACCCAATGACTTTCACAGCCCCTGGAGAAGCTCTGGAAACTCAGGCCGAATCAACGACCGCTGATCACAGAAAAGCTGGTTGGACCCGCGGTGACTCGGAGGGACTGGGGGTGATTTTTGCTCCAAAACCCCTACACGGATCTTTACAGTGTTGTATGGTGAACATTGGGTCTGAAACCTACGTTTTAGAGGCCTTGAACCAAGCATAATATACCTTTAACATCCTGGAAAACCAAAAATGATGGGGTGTTTAAAGAATTTAAGCAGCAACTATATGGTAGTTTGGTGTAATTATAATAATTGGCCATGGTATATAATTTAGAGATAAATTGTTGAAATTTCGCCCCCTGTATATGTTTTGGCTCAAGACAGCGAGCACGTGGAAAACAATCGTGCTGGGTGTTTGCTAGAGATAATTTGTCAAAGTGGTAGCGGAGCTGCGGCTCCGGTAGCAGGGTTCCGTGGGAAGTGTGCCCGATGGCGACTGAGCAGCAGATTCAGGAAATGAATTAAAGGTTGATGCAGCTAGGACAGATGCTGCAGGAATCGCGAGATAGAGAAGCAGCTCTAGAGACGAGGCTGCAAGGAGTTGGAATGGCAGGACAATCCATTGGACCCGCAATCCAAGTTCTAGCAGCATCCCAAGCAGAACTAGCCAATGCGATGAAAAGAAACGAAAAGAAAACCATGACACTGATCGACAACCGTGGAGTAGGAAAAATCCCAATCAAAGATGATGGGAGAACTCCCTACCAGAAGTTGAGTGGAAGAAAGTGGAACAGACCACTGGTGAGGTTCGGAGAAAGGATTTTCTTCAGACCTCTGGATGCGCGCAAGGTAGATGATGGGGCAACAGGTGAAAGGAAAAGTGGCGATCTTGGAAGAAGAGTGATGAGCGGATACTATGTGGGAACACATGGTAGAAATGCAGACGTGCTGGTCATGATGACCCAAGGAGTGGTCAAAGGAAACACGGTACATAGGAGGCCGGAAACAGAACGATGGGATCGTTCTGAGAAGAAGGATCTTAGAGGCGTCCCCTGGCTGCTTCGTCCAAGGGAAGCCGGAGATCTAGAACACAGGTTGTACATAGCATTGCCGGAAGCCATGCAAACGCTGACTCCTGCTGTATGAGATGGAGGACCAAGGCAGTTACATATAAGAAAGAAAGACCTGGAGAAAGAGGACGGCACGTATGACTACACACCTGGCTGCAAAGGGTGTGAGGCGTTGATGGTCGGATTACCATCGGTTAACAACATGACCTGTAGAAACAAGCTGATGGAGAGATTGAAAGGTACCGAAGAAGGTCAAAATAGTTTGGCCGATGTTGAGAAAAGACAGCAAGAAGGAAAGACGAAGAAGGCGAAAGCCGAAGTAACAGGATTGCCAGATCCGACGGGACAAGAGGTGAGATCGTCGGTAGCCTTGGGATAACCCGAGGAAGAAACGGTCACTAGCCCCAAGAGAAACCAAGAAGGAGTGGAAAGAGGAGAACCTGGAAAGAACGCAGGAGCGAAACCCAACAAAGGTGAAAGAGGGTAGGTGAATCAGTAGACGATTTGTTCGCTGAAGCCGAAGGAAGTGCAGAGCCCTTGGTTGTTTCAACCGGAGGTTCAGCAGAGATCCAATCGGAGCCCTCTGCTGCTTCAGCAGAGGGAGCCGCGTCGGGATCAGCAGCGCCAGGTTCGACACTCAGTCACGACTGCAGTTTTGGTCACCAGTTGCACCGCAGCCGGAGATTCGGAGACAAAATCCAGAACAAGATATCCAGTCATTGTTTCACATTGGAGTGGAGTCGCAAGTTGATGATTCTACAAAGACAGAGCTGAATGCATTGGAAGCGCATGATGTGACGGAAAAAAATCACCACCAAGATTCATACGCAGTTGACTTGGAGACAGGTTGGGACTTGACGGACAAAACGCAGGTGAAATGTCTTGAGAAGATCCTGGATCAAGAGGATCCGTGCCTGACTACAGGAAGCCGGCCTTGTGATCCATTTTCGATTTTACAGGCGTTGAACGAAGGAAGAATGGACCCAGAGAAATTTCAAGCAAGATTGGAAGAAGGAAAAGAGATGTTGGACACATCATGTTCGATCTACAAACAAAGGATCAAGAAAGGGGAGTATTTCCTACATGAACATCCGAAGTCAGCAAAGTCGTGGAAAGAAGAGTGCATCCAAGAAATCAGTGAGATTCCGAATGTAGAGATCGTAGAAGGACCAATGTGTAGGTGGAAGATGGTAGGAAGAGATGCTTCCGGAGAAGGATACATCCGGAAACCCTCGTGTTGGATGACCAACTTGCCAGAGTTGGCAGAGACATTGCGTGGAGTGTGTACGAATGACCTACCTGGCGGAAAGCATGAGTGGCATCGCCACATCCACCTAGTAAACGGACGAGCAAAGATGGCCCGAATACACCCTCCAGCTCTAGTTCGAGCAGTACTTAGAGCACTCAAGAGACAAATGAAAACAGATGGAGAATACCGAGAAGTACATTCAGTGAATGCTGGGCTGGACCCAGTCCAGATGAAGACATGAATCTGGAAGAATACGAAGAGGACTTTGTACCAGGGAAGAATATCCACGAGAAGGAAGATCATGAAGATCAGATGTTCTTCGACGACATCACTGGAGTACAGTTGGACACACAAGAAGTCTTAGCAGCAAGACAAGAACTGCAATGGTTACACCGTGCGAAGGTGTACGAAAAGAGAACAATCGAAGAATGTTGGCAAAGAACTGGAAGGGGTCCAATAACACTGAAATTATAGACAGAAACAAGGGTGACAGAGAACACCCAAACTACAGATCGAGGATCGATGTCCGTGAAGTGAAGAGACAGCATGGAGCATTGCCTGGGCATATGTTGTTCAGCAACATGCCTCCGTTAGAAGCGGTCAAGATCCTATGCTCAGAACTAGCAGCAAGGAAGAAGAACAAGAAAGGAAAAGATCTGAGGCTGGCATTGTACGATATATCAAGAGCTCATTTCTACGGAGAGGCTCAGAGAGCAATTACGTCACATTACCACCTATGTACGGTACTCAAGATGCGAGTCATGTGTGGCAGGAAGACTATTCCAACCATCTGAGAAAGAAACACTTCCACCAGGGACAGGCCTGGACAAGTGTCTTCAGACACGATGAGTTGGATATCAAAGTACTGGTGCACGGAGATGACTTCCTGGTACTAGCTGACCAGGAGAGGCAAGAGTACATGCAACAAGTCTTGAAGGAAAGTACGAATACAGATGCGATGGAGGAATCGGAAAAGGTTCCGGAAAACATCTGACGATCCTAAATAGGGTTGTGTGTCATGCGAGCAAGAAACTGGACGAGCAACCTACGAAGCAGATCCAAGACATGCCCAGATGATCATAAGACAATTGAATCTGCTGAACGCAAAGAGTGTTACTACCCCAGCGGAGAAGAAGGAAGTTCTGAAGTGCTGGCATCGGTTGGACTTCCACCGGTGACGGCAGAGCAGACCACGCTCTACAGGAGTTTGGTAATGAGAGCCCAATTCCTAGCGCAAGGCGGAGCAGACCTGAGCTGTGAAAAGTCTGACGAGAAAGGTGGAAGCACCGAATGAAAGCGACATGAAAGACCTGAAAAGGTTAGGAAGATACTTGGTAGGACGACCAAGAGTAGTCAACGTGTACTGCCCACAACGACCTACGAATGTGATCAAAGTACACGCAGACAGCGACCATGCCGGATGTCTACCGACCCGGCGAAGCACAACCGGATACACTATATCTATATCCATTGGAACGCACTGCGTGAAGCACGGATCAAACTTGCAATCAACCATTGCGCTAGGCAGTGGAGAGAGTGAGTTTTATGCACTTACCCGTGGTGCTGCACTAGGACTAAGTCTGAAATCCCTGACGGCAGACTGGGGTCAGAAATACGACCTAATCGTGCTGAGCGATTCGTCAGCAGCAAGAGGTACTGCTGCAAGACGCGGTCTAGGCAAACTACGTCACGTGCAAACCCGATACCTTTGGGACCAAGAACGCGTGTCGAACAATGACCTGGCCGTAAAATCCGTGAACACAAAACAGAATCTAGCCGACCTATGCACAAAACCTGTGAGTAGAGAAACATGTGACAAACACATGAGAACGCTGTGCCAAGAGTTCCGTGAAGGAAAAGCCAGCGGAGCAGAGGCTTTAGAATCAACGAAAGTGTAGTTAAACTATCACTAGCGTTGAAGGAGGGGTGTTGAAATTTCGCCCCCCGTATATGTTTTGGCTCAAGATGGGCCAAGACAGCGAGCACGTGGAAAACAAGCGTGCTGGGTGTTTGCTAGAGATAATTTGTCAAAGTACATGGTATGTACAGGAATACCTTTGGGATATGTTGACACCACCAATCACTATTTTTGTTATGGGACTCAAATTCACATGCTTGAGTCGGTTTGACCATTGAAATGACTAAATCCGAGCATTTGCAAGTTAATAACTAACAATTAATGTTAGTGGATTTAGTTAACAATTAATGCTAGTGGACTTAATTATGATTATATAATATTTGCTAATGGTAACCAATTTGTTAACAATTAATCCACCATTTTTGATGTACCATTAGATCCCCATGAGGTGGAGCAACCCGTTTCCCCTGGGCTGGTGGACGCGCAAAACCGTGCCTTGGTAGCGTGGGTTGTGGGGGTCACCGGGTCGGGGGGAGATTTGTTTCACATAAAACATGATCTGATATACAGCAAACCCCCAAACAGTAGAACAGTACAATCCTGCTAGAATAGTAATGTCGTTATTGTCTAATTTTTTCCATTTTTTGGTTTCTAAAGGTGATTTGATATGTGCCACGGTCAAGATTGGAATAAATCGACCACATTGTAGGTTGGTCATCAATCCATTCATGGGGATTTGTATACCCATCATATTTGCTTCCCATTGTGGGGTAGCATGGATGACAGTACCACATCTACCATTTTACAAGCAAACCCAAAATAAATCGAACAGTTGGAAACCTGGAAATATGAGACAAATATCATCTATACCATCCTGGGAAACACTATTTTTTTTGGGTGATAATGATTGTATGATACGAATCGAAACTGGTGACAGAACCAAGGCTGCCAGGATTTCGACAGAATTCCATGTTCCAAAGTGAAGACTGAACAACAAAATTTTCAAAATATTTCAACATATAGGTCTGGAAGCGCATTTTCGCATTGTTCTAATTACAGATCTTTTCTGTGGATTTTTTTTTCCGGAAAGAACAGTTTTTTTCGGCGCAAAGAAAAGTACAGGAAAGTGTGAGAGCCTGGGGCATCGCACTGGGTTCCGTGTTCCATAAACATCCGTTGTGCGATGGGTCTCTCTGGGCGGAATGAGCATAAAAGCGAGGCGCTCGCTTCGCGGAACGGCGCGTCGTGCGGGTGTGGCACCTGGAAGTGCGGTGGTGAAGTGATGGATTCAAGAGTCATTAGAAAAAAAAATCATGAAAAATCATTGAATTAATTATGATGGTTATTTCATGTTATTTCTATGATTGTGTTTCTTGTTGTTCGACATACTGTTGTTGTTATTAACAATTGTTATCGCATCTATCAGCATGATCACTATTACTATTGTACTCGATATATCTGGGTAATGCATGATGATCATCTTGAACGGCCATGCATGCTTGATTGCCCCATATCAGTATGGCCACTGATTGCCGAAAAGACCAATAGTGTAGTTCCAACAAGCATCAACAAGCAGTCAGCGGGTTGCAACTTTTGAAATTTCTCTGCATCCTTCTGGAAGGAATTGGAAGAGAATGCAGCAATTGCAGGCCCATGAAAGCCGGAGTATAATGGTGAAATTACATAAAAATCTCACAAATCACCATGAATTACATGAAATGACCATAAATTACCAATTTCTCAATGGTAAAAGTACCATTAGTTACCATCAATGGTTTTCTAGTTTCAATTTTCGCGCTATGAGAAATCAGGATCCAGCAGAGCGGAAGGCGAGCCTCAGGACGGTTTCATGGAGGAATGTAGGTTTCCTGCTACATATGCATCGAAATGTATAGAAGGGTAGTATATATATATATATTAATAATGATGCCCAGACACCTCATTTCGCCCAACATCACTTTTAGGTTTCCAAGTTTTTTTTAGTTTTTCACTTGGGGAATTTGGGTTTAAGATTTGGGAGTTTCTGGGTTAGGGTTCAGGATGACTTGTGCAATGACGCACTATTTACATCTATTTAATATGTTTTGAGAGTGCCTGGAGCAAATTGAGGTGTTTGGCCGTACCATGTATGTATGTATATATATATATATATTAATATATATATATATTAATATATATATATATATTATATATATTATAATATAACTTTATTTATGTGTGTGTGTATGATATATATATATATAGATATTATATGGCGTTAATGTTGTTTTCATTGAGGAATTACTGTACCATTCGCCGCACGGCACCCTTTGTGATTTCAGCTAAGCCCCATTTCTTGGATGACCTCAGGAGAGTGGCGGCTCATAGCTGGACTCCAGCTGAGTGTGGCTCCCCAACTTGGCCGACGTTTTGAGTAAAAGGTGGTTTCTAGCTGCTAGCTTTTCCGACTGATTTTCAGCGAATTTCCAAAGCTAAAGCTTGGTGAATGGTATGTTAGGTTGATTTTTGGTCATTTTTGTTTCGACGTCTTTTTTTGCAGGTTGTCTTAAAGTCCCTGTGGGAAACAAGTAGGAAGAGTATCAGTATCTTGCAGCCTAGGTCAGGAGAGAGGATGCACACTCATACTCTTTTCGCATCTCAATCCAATGTGGCCTTGCTATACGAAAGCGCCAGAACGTTAGGGCTCAACCAGGAAATCAGAACAGTACAGTATCTGACATGGGCGCTTCTCAAGCGGCGTCTGGAGAATCCCCAGCTGAGATTAAAAGTACGAACACCAAAGATGCTCGGCTCCGAGACCAACCTGGGCTTGCCTTTTTTGCTGAAGCTTTTGCGGCTGGTCAAGATGAAACTCATCTTCAGAGGGGTTGCGAGCCTGGTGTTACTATGATTGAGCTGGCTCCTACAAGTGGACTGGAAGAAGATAAAGGGGAGGCAGAATGGCCTCTCTGGAATGATGCTTGGAATGAGGACACTGCAAGGGGTGGTGCTGTAGCTTTTGTGCCAGCAGATGCTGGCGTTGGTTCGGCTTGCATTTACTTCGTGCACGGCGGTGGCTTCGAGTATGGTGGGCCTGTGGAAGATGGATACGACAGCTTGTGCTCACGGCTTGCAAAAGGATCAGGACATATCGTGGTTTGTCCAGATCATCCGCTGTCCGGTGAGAATCGACCCTTCAAAGCGCCAGACATCTTGCAGGCGCTTGTGAGGGGATTGCGATGGCTGGTTCGGTTCGACCCCGTCTCCAAAGAACGGCGCACTTCTTCACCCCCACAGATTGTTCTAGCTGGAGATTCGGCAGGTGCCACACAGGCTTTTTCGTTGCTCCTCCTAGCTCTTTCAGAAGAGTCTGAGGAGCTCAAGAAATGTCTTGCTGGTCTTGCGCTTGTCTCTCCCTGGCTGGACCTCACCTGTGGAAGTCATACATATGTGAGCAATGCTTTCGCAGCAGAAGCCAACACAGGTGATTTGGCCTTTCGAGCTCACGCAGATGAGAACAGGGCTGGCTTTAAAGGAATGGGTTTGACCTACACTGGCTCTGCAGATCTTCTCAAGGATTGTTTGTTCAGCCCATACTGGCTGTCAAGAGCAGAGTCAAACCTACTGATGGGACTGCAAGCGTGGCAAATCCCAACTTGGATCTGCACTGGAGCATCAGAAACGCTCGCTGGCGAGGTGTTAGACTTTGCGCAGCAACTGCAGAACCAGATACCTTTGGAGCTGTGGCTTCATGAAGGAATGTTTCACGATTGGGTAATGTACTCAACCGACCACCCCTTTCCCAGCAAGGATGCTGCAATGCAGCAGCTCTTTGACTTTCTGCGCGACATACGTGCAGGAACCTGGAAACCGAAGGGCATACAATATTACATTGATCCTTGGAAATAGTGCGAAAAAAACAGTTTAAGGACACGGGGCTTTTGACATGTCTTTTGCTGGTAATTTGCTTTCCCTCTAACCACCTCATTGCTTCCATGGTATATTGGGTACTATATCCCAAAATCCATTGGGAAATCATCATCTCATTATTCAAATGCCACAACTTAGGTATATACAAAGCATTTTCAGATATCCCATGAAAAATCCCCATGAACTCAAGATTCTTTTTGGTAAGTTACCACGACGTGATTGGACATCTTCAGTGTTTCGACCGTGCGTCCAACGAGGCTGCCTGAGCCATCCCTGCAGCAGCAACCATTGCTACTGTTGGGCGAGGTGAACTTCGGCGAGCGATGAGCGCAGAGTGGGTACCACATTGGGTCCGAAACTACTGGCTTTTTACAGGTGCTTTGTACAGACTGATGATCTGGAATCTGGAGTTTGGATGTTATCATGTAACCTCACCTTGGATTTTTCTTGAAGGTGGAAGGAGCCCTTTGTTGTGTGGTTGAAATCGCAGCAATATTGGATACATTCTTTTTTGGTTTCTCTGCTTTCAATGAAATACCCCATTGACAATCGAAACTATATCGAATATACATTGAATATACATATGAATTGCAACTTGTAAGAGCATTCAGGATATTGAAGAATATCAGTTGAGTTCTTTCATCCGACTTGTCTAACGGGATTGCGAAAATATGTCTATCAATCTGGTAGCTGCAGGGCCTGCAGGGTCCAAGATGCGGTGAGTTGATGGATTCAACTTTCGCCATCTGGATGGACTCCTGAGAATCTGCACATTTTGAGGTTATATGTGTATAAACGTGTATGATATATATATAGTATTATAGGAGGTTGATGATTATTAGGGAGGTTACATTTCATCTCCTTATTTTTTTTTGCAAATTCATTTAACCAACACATGAACATATCAAATGTCAAGCACCCAACTGGATGGATTGTAGCGACACTGTGGAAAGCACTGCACATATCAAACTGTCAACTGGGTTCACTGCCAGGAGGTCGTTTCAAATCATCAGTATATAAATAGTATGTATACATATAACTACATATATATGTACAATATACATAATATATATAAATAGTATGTATACATATGTATATGTATATATAAATATGTGTGATTATGTATATATATATATGTATACATATATATATATACACATATATATATATACATTATATATATATATGTCTAATATATATAAATAATATATCTAATCAATAATATATATGTATATATGTATATATACACACTATCTATAGTATGTATGAATATAAATATATAGATACACAATAATAAATAATATAACTGGAGTCAAACTCCAAGGTCAATTACCGGGATTCTCGGTCACCAACGCCATGTGATTCAGGAGGCTGTCACTGCTGGGCCGACTGCCCGCTTCCCGCGTCTGGTGCTGTGGGTGGCCTGACCATCGGGATGGTCCTGGGTGAATTCTAAACGACCTCACTGTTCTCCCTCACTGAAACAATGGTCAGGAACGGGAAATTACTATATCCCAATATAGCTGAAAGCTGAACTGATTATTCAGATTAGTGATTTGATGTAATTTGCCCAGATGGTGTATAGTCTATAGCAAACGATGGTTCAATGATGGTCTATAGCTTGTAATGATGGTTTTTCATGATTCTCTCAATTGCAAATCCCAAACAGATTGAACAGCTATATCCCACTAAAATAGCAAAGTAATATCTCAGTAACTAGAATAAGTAGTACAGTAATATCCCACTAATGAAAACAGTAATATTCCACTAGAAAATAGTTAGAAAAGGAATATCCAAAGAGACTTTGGGGGTCGCTGCAATGACCGTTGGACTGTGGCACAGAACCGTCTCCGCGTCCGGCTTCGCAAGGACGAGAGTCGACGCTGCTTTGCATCGCACTGGTCTGGCTCTGAGGTCTTTGTTTCTCCACAAAAGGGGATCATTCCCCCTATGATTTGGGGATTAATCTACCAATCTATCCATTGTGAGCAATCCAAAACCATGGTAGGATGACCATAACCAGCCACCAAAAGCATGGTCTTTGACCATGGCACAGCGGAGCAACACCTGGGATTTCTTCCCATGGTCTCTGGGAGAGATGGAATGTGGTGGTGTTGGAATATGTCGGATTGTAAATGAACAATGGACAATGGCTTGGTGGTTTGGATCATTTCTTATTTTTCCATATATTGGGAGTAAGCATCCCAACTGACTTTCATATTTTTCAGAGGGGTTGAAACCACCAACCAGACATGTAGATATGCTCATTAGATGTCATTGTATACGGAAAATCATGACTAAATAGTGCAAAAAAAAACAGGTCCAGAGGGCATCTCGCCAGCAACTTGAGACCTGGGATGTAGCAGAAAGGCGTCCTTGATGTCGGATCCTGTGCTTAGCCTGCTTTACTTGGAGTAATCCCATCAAGTTCAGTTCTTTTAGCACCTCCATTCTGTGGTGGCACCATGGTTTCAAAAGAGTCTTTAATATGAAAGGGGGAATATGAAAGAGGAATATTGAACTACTTCATATTAATATGAACTATATTTATCTGGTTTAATTTATCTGGTCATATTGTTGAGGAATATCGAACTACTTTTAGGATCGAATACGGAAGGTTGTTGGACTCCAGGTGGTTCAAACACACTGTCACCACCCCAAGCACTCAGATTGTTGACGAACATCACTTGCGAAGAACTGTCAGCAAATAAGACAATTACTTTACTTCGTGTGATCCCCACCATGACATTTATACATTTTCTTACTGGCAAATCTTATGGCATTCTATCTGACATATCTTCTGACATTCTATTTGACATTCTATCTGGCATATCTTCTGGCATATGATCTGGCATATCTTCTGGCATATCTTCTGGCATTCTATCTGGCAAATCTTCTGGCATTCTATCTGGCATATCTTCTGGCACTCTATCTGACATATCTTCTGGCATTCTATCTGGCATATCTTCTGGCATATATTCTGACATATCTTCTGGCATTCTATCTGACATATCTTCTGGCATATATTCTGACATATCTTCTGGCATTCTTCTGGCATATCTTCTGGCATATCTTCTGGCATATCTTCTGGCATATCTTCTGGCATATCTTCTGGCATATTCTGGCATATCTTCTGGCATATCTTCTGGCATATTTTCTGGCATTCTATCTGGCAAATCTTCTGGCATTCTATCTGGCATTCTATCTGGCATATCTTCTGGCATATTATCTGGCATTCTATCTGGCATATCTTCTGGCCTTCTGGCATTTCTGCACATTCTTTCTGACATTCTTTCTAACTTTCTTCTGCACATTCTTGTCCCATATCTTCCTACATGAGGTCCGGCAGGGAACACTTGGCGTGGATACTCGCGGTTGAGGTCCGGCAGGGAACACTGGGCGTGGATGGTCGTGGTTGAGGTCCGGCAGGAACACTGGGCGGGGATGATCGTGGTTGAGGTCCGGCAGGGAACACTGGGCGTGGATGGTCGTGGTTGAGGTCCGGCAGGGAACACTGGGCGTGGATGGTCGTGGTTGAGGTCCGGCAGAGAACACTGTGGATCGCGGGTCGCCGTTGAGCAAGGACGACGAGGACGACGAGGACGACGAGGACGACGAGGAGGACGAGGAGGACGAGGAGGAGGAGGAGAGGAGGACGAGGCAGGAGGAGGCGGAGGAGGAGGAGGAGGAGAAGGAGGAGGAGGAGAAGGAGGAGGAGGCAACTGACATAAAATCTAACAACCCTCACCTGGCAGGTGGGGAAACATCAATGACCAAGAAACAACTTATAGAATTAATATCTATATATATATATATATGCAGTAATATATACATTACCACCCAAAAAGATTAAGAAATAGCATTTGCATGCATTTGCAGGATGGTAGTTCCATGATGTTTTCCCCGTAATGTCCAGAGATCCTTAACATGTTTTTTTTGGTGGGGAATTGCGATAACCATATCTAATTCTTGACGGCAAAGTTATGACACAACTATTATAACGATCAATTATATGTAGAGAATAACTTTACAAGCCATTATAATCTTATCATATCATATCATACTACATTTTGTTTATAGATTATACAATAGTATATTATCTTAATATTATATTAACATTATATTAATAGAACATTGACATTATATTACAACATATTGTATTATTATCATCATATTATATTGTATTATATAATATAGTATTGTATTATATAATATTATATAATATTATTTTACATTATATTATATTCTATTATATTATATTATATTATAGTATATCATATTATTTTATATATAGTATATCATATTATGTCATGTTATATCGTATTATATAAAATTATATAAAATTATATTATATAAAATTATATTATATTATATTATATTGTATTGTATTGTATCGTATTGTATTGTATTGTATTGTATTATTAATATTAACACTGGGTTCTTCAAAAAACAACCATCGACCAAAGAGTTTCAACAAACACCGGAAGCCCCCAGACCCCCCCCTGTATCGATGTTGCTATCCATCGCGTCTCAATGGCCGGAGCAAGAATTGTTATTTTTTTTTGAAGGCTCCGCCAAGCGCTGCTTTCACACAATATTGGAATTGGGGAACCAGGGGTGTCTAACTGTCCTTGCTAGAGTTCAGGTTGGTTGGCCGTTTTTTTTGAAGAACCCGGTGCCAATATCAATATTCATACTATGGGATGTATCAAAAGATATTATCATAGACCCACTTATTCACTTATTATGTTATATCATCCATGCCATGTCGACAGGGTAAAACCTGGAAGCCGGGAACCCCGAGGCCCGGCGCGTTGTCGCCGGACTTCTGCCGGCAGAGCTTCGGAGCTTTGCTGACGCATGGGTGCCATGGTTAGATCAGGCGGCCAAAGTCGGTGGGGGCCATCGCTGGTTTCAACCAACATTTATACTGGAATTAGCCATACATCAAACAGGATTCATCTGATTTAACCATCACTTACTGTATATATATAACCATCATTTATAGGGATTTCAAGAATCTGTTGGTTGATGATATGGGGATGTCATAGTCACTTATTTGGGTTTCTCTAGCCCATGGATAGGTAAATGATAATTACTTTTTTGTCTCAAAACGCATGTCATTTTAACCCGTTATCTACCAATTCAACCCCCCTTTTATCTGAGGTGTTGGGAGCAACCCTGTACTTCAGGATGGGTCAATACCCATGGGACCATCTTCTTGGGAGGATGAACATCCATGAAGTCCAGTCATTTTGATGTGAATAAAGAGGACCAGGGTTTGGACCGAGAGACCAGGGTTTGGAACCATACCCATTAAAGATCCCCAGGATTTTAGTATAGATGTAATCCAAAACAATTACTCAAACCGGATGGTTACTCAACAGACACTTTTTTTTCAGGGTAAACCATCCGATTTTGGGGAGTACCCTCCGGTTCATCGAACATAATCGAACCAATTAATGCTTATTTGCCATGGGAGAATCATTTACATTCATGGGCGAGGGTAACCCCACACGGATGAGTATGGCGGTAAGAATGCGATGGTTGCGCCAAACCAGAGAATGGGGAAACCACAAAAATGTGGATTTAGCAAGCGAAAACAGTTCTTACAAGTTCAAATGGGATGATTGGTGCCACAGATGACCCACATCTCTGGTTCCCAGGACCTTCAATCTCGACCAGTGCCCTTTTTTTGTTCATGAAATGATCAGAACATCTTGGTATTTTGAGGACATCGGCCCGAAATGATGGCTACGCATGCATTTTTTTCTAATCAAAAGCATTACTATCATTACTGTAGAGTCCATTAGACTAGAAACCAATAGTAGAACCAATAAACATTGATTCTTGAAAGCTGCCTAATCTGGGTTCCACGTGTTTTTTTCACCTTGATGTTGGCTTGCTATCACTGGAAGTATGTTTGCATATTTCGCGGACCATACGAAGTCAATGTGAACATGCCATACATTGGCCACCATTGGCCAATTTTTGGAACCCCTGGCAAAGCACCAAGGGGCATACATTTCAAAGCCGACTGGTTTAGTTCCTTTGCATTTCGTCCATTTCGTCCATTTTATCCCTTTTCCAAGGGTTTCAACCTTCGGTCTATTGACTGGAAGTCATAAAAGGGCAAAAGTATGGTATACTATGGTCCCAAACCCTAAACATATCTAAACATAGGCCAAAATATATTTCCTTTTTGCCTCTAGTCTTTGCCGGGTAAGCTTCGGTTGAGTAGCTGAGTGGGTGAGTTTTTTGCTCATGGAGGACTGTACAAAGCAGCTACCCTCTGGTACACTAGCAGTTTGCTATTGGAAATCACCATTAAAGAAACCGTAATTTCCCGGTAAATCATATAAACTCTAAACCATCTGTTTTCATGAGCTATGGCTTCCATAGCAAACTGTCAGTTTACAACAAACTAGACATCAACATATTTTGTTTTCAGGTTATCGAAGGTTCGCCAGGCCCAGGTTCGCCCCGGCCGAGGCCCTGGGAAGCGCTTCACAGCAAGAAAGGTCAAGTGACCCGCGAGACGTGCAGCAGCCCCAGAGCGCAGCCGTTAGGATGTCGTTCGTTTTGGTGATATTATCCTACCCAAATGTAGGGATATAATGGGATACAGGGATAACAAATGATAACAGGCTCCAAGGCTGCTGGGCTTTTATTGGGATATTTTGGGATATTACCAGTTGTACATACAACATGGCTTGGCTGAGGCTGGTACGTGCGCAAGGGCTGCCGTTGCGACTACACCTATGGCATCGCTCGTGCTTGGGTCTCAGATGTGGACCACAGCAAAGTTAGGTAAGATGGTCATGCTGGCTTTTATGGTGGTTCTGCGCGTGGAGGTTTCGGTTTAGTTAATCTTGATTGCGCGGGTATTTTTTAAGTGTCATGATACCGAGTAGTATTTTTTTTCTATAGTTACCATACCCCATAGGATCCATGTATGCTATATATGGTAACATTTACCATCAATATACCCCCAATGTTAGCATATATACCAGCACCATGGATCCTATGGGTACTAAGTATGCCACGACTTTGGAGTCCAATGGATTGCTGGGACATGGCCAATTAGCTCCAAGCCAGGTCAGGGCTAAGCGAAAGCAAACAAAGGCCTTTCATTGCGCTCGGAGCCCAGAAGTTTTCGGTGAATCTTGGCACGTTTGGGCACCCTCCGGGTGAACCATGTCTGACTGGGTTTCTGTGAAATTTTTACAGATTCATACCAGATCATACCAGAGGGTAAACTGTTTGTAGCTTTCTTTTCCGGTTTATCATGATATATTCATAGCCAAAAGTCAATAAGTCAATCTAAATGAAGCAATACCATGATATCAGTGGCCATTTCAAGAACCTAAATTGGAGGTGCCTAGCATATAAGGTCCATGTAAGGGCTGTGTAAGGCAAAATGCGCCTGAAATATTGTTTTATATGGCTTATAGTACAGTACCTCCAGTATGAACTGAAATGGCGATGATATCTCGCGAAAGATCAGCTTCTTCAGGGGTATCGAACGTAAGGTCAGCTTCTCCTCTGTTTGACCTTATATATTTTTTTTTCCCAGAGAGGAATGTGACTAACCAGCTATCCCAGAATGGGATGAAGGCAGAATCTGCAGGAAAACATCAGAAACCCTACGTAATCCTACATATATGTATACATTAATTATTATTGTATATTATTATTGTATATTATAGTATTATCAGGTCCAAAACAATAAGCTTCAAACATGTCTTCTTTTGTGCAGGTATCAAAGATAAGCCATGCAACGCTTTTTTTCGAAGGGTCTAGGTCTAGGCATGTATACTCCCATGAGTATATATTTGCTTGTTGATATTCCGTGTATGTCCATTACAGCAGAATACAGCAGGAAAATAAAACTTGAACTGAATACATGTATAGTTATGTTTGTACATCAATACTGTGTACTATAGACATGTTAGTTGTTTAACTTATGATAGTTATGAAATTATACATGTTTTCCCGTATACATTGCATGCATCCCAGCATGTTCAAAGCGTTTTTGTTGAGGCCATGGAGATGCTACTGGAAGAGCTGATGCGTGTGACCTTTCCGCAACTGCCGAAAGAGGCCTGGCCGAACGCGGCCAATCTGAACCTCTACAGCGAGAAGTGGCAATCCATCGGTGGGGAAGACCTGGAAAGACCTGGAATTTTCGGGGGACTTTTTGGATCTGATCCCACGAGTTGGAAAACCCCAAAGCGGAGCCCAAGATGGGTAGCCCTTGCTGGTGAATAAACACTGACAGCCAGTTTTTTCGGGTCACTTGGGGATGAATCTCCATGTTGGATCATCTTGAACCAGCCTAGGATGTGGCCATTTATAGTAAGAGGAGGTTGGTTGGTGACTAAAGATGCCATTTCTAGAACAAAGACCCAAGGCTGGCATGCTGATGATGAGTCGCTCTTTCAGGGTCTACGACTCAGTGAGCGGATTTGGTGCCTGCGGTTTCTGGTTCTGAGCAGCAAAGAAAACCCAGAGCTAGCCGCTATCGACCTCATTTTGCTAGCTGCTACATGCATGCTTGGAAGTTCTGGAGTACCCCAGGAATCTGCTTGTCTTCCACTTTCTTTCACGGTCTATGATTATATACTATATATATATAGTAGAAAGGTACTCAACTTCACAAAGGTCAACGTCCAAATATGAGAGCCATGCTACTTGTGCCATGACCATAGTTCAGCAACAACTGGGTCATTAAATGGCAAAGGAAAATCTTCTCTATATATAGATCTGTCTGCAGAAATGATGACCTCACTGATCTCCCTCACTGGAATAATGCTTCAGGAAAGGGAAAATCCCAACATTTCATCTTATTTCATCAACCATTTCAAGTTAGTGAAGACTTTCTCCATATTTACCCAGATGATTTTTCATATCCCAGAGACCTCCATGGCGTCTCGGGGATTTTCCTGGAGGTCGAGACAAGGATTGTCCCATCATCTCGGTTTCCCTGGGGGCTCCACGAGAGATGGGGCCTCAACTGCCGCCAGCAACGATGGTTTCTTGGGGTTGAAATGCCATCATGTACTACATATATCTACATATACTATTAAGATATTAAGACTATAATAGTATATATATATAATATTATAATCCATATCCATATCTGCATTTTATTTATCTGAGTATCTGAGTATGCACTGACGCACGTAGAAGTTTTCTATATCCAGGTTCTAATCTAATCATGTGTAAAAACATATACTTCAATGAATGTGGAATTGCTCACTGAACAGCCAGTTTACATGCCAGAGATTTTCACACTGGTTTCAGCCCTTTGCTTGGATGGAGCGTATAGCTTCTCAATTTATTTGCAGACATGGGTCATTTGCCGCAAGATTCTTGTACTTTCACCCATTGTTGTGAGTGAATTAGTTGGCTTAACGTACATTAAGACTATAGGTGTGCACCTCAACATGCCACGTTCATTGGATTATTTGAAGGGATCATTTTCAGGAAATCCTAGTCTTCACGATGGTAGGGGTAAAGCCAAGCAGATTTTTGAAGAATCCAATCCAGTCACCCGAGACTGTTTTCAGGTTTTGGTTGGCGCTGCGGCATGAGGGCAACTGCATGGATCCTAAACTGAAGAGTATTGTGGAGGCACGACGTCGACAAGTGGTGCACCCCTAGTTGTGAGTTGGTTTACCCTCTGCTAATCTAACAGTTTGCGAACTATTCATGGGCCATGGTTTCCATAGCTTTGTGAAATTCTCGGAGGGTAAGTTGTGCGGACCACACATGGAGTCATCATTCTTAGGAGCGTGAAACATTGAAATTTAGGGTACCCTATGACTTGGCATGACTTGACCTTACACACTTCAATTTTTCGCGGGAAGATTTCACTCTGATCCTGCTAGGGAACAAAAATTCCCATGAAAGCTGCCCAACTGGTGCATCAATCCGATGAATGATCATCAGACTGTCAGCCCACTAGAATGCCAGGGCTGAGGTAGGGTGAAAAAAGGACCCAGATTTGGATCATTTTGCTTCAAAAGTATCCAATTCCCCAATGAGTTTCCCAATGCACCTCATCACAGGTTGACCTTTCTTATGGGGACATTCTGACCATGGAGGCAGGACCTGAGGACACCACCCAGAATGAGGACCTGAAAATGGGGAAGTAAATCATCTAAAGAATATCTAGATTATTACATATTATTACATATTCTCATATCATTCTTGAATGGATATATCAGAATAGATAAGTGTTTTTCTGGGGAACCAACATGGAGATTCTAATTATATGATATTTAAAAATACACAGAATTGGGGATGGCTCCATATTTCTTGGGGATGAAAATCCAGGAACTGGTTGGGTAAATTCATAGCTGGATTTGAGGCTGGTGCCTGAAGAGTTACACTTAGCTTTGTTCCATTTTGCTTCATACATCTAGCATATCGTCTCAAACTCTTGCACATGGGGAGCTCGAAAAGGGATTTTTGTTGCCATCTTTGTTTTCCAGAGGGTCAACTGATCATTTTTGCCCTTGAGATGATGAACATTAGATGGGAACACTGCATGATAAGCTACGTAGGCTGATCCAACATGGATTTCAAGTGACGGAACTTGAAGCAATTTTTTTTTGCAGAGTGTGAGTATGTCATTGATCGATGTTAAACTGCATGTTAAACAGCCCCCCACTCCCCCACCCTAAAGAGAACATGACAGGGATGTCAACATGAGCTCTCTGCATGCCGTACGGTTGCCATAGTTCTAACGGGGTGGAGAAAACAAAGTAAATCTGCTATGTTTATCTGGGATGAATCACCCCCGCTTTTAAATCTATTCCGGTACCGTAAATAAAAGGGTACCGGAACACATAAAATATTTTACATATTGCCAAACAACTCGCCTAATTGAAAACAAGTACTAAAAGAATACAAGTATTGCTGAACTTAAAGTGCCGAATTGAAACGAACACATTTCCGATTGAAAAATCCACTCCACCAACAAATCACCCGAAGTTGGTATACTTTATTATTCGAAGCATTCTTTAAGTAAGCCGCCGGTTCTGCTAATCCCATGGTAACATCGCGGTAATGTGGTAAACCCATTGCCATAAACCATACCTCTGGGATGATTCATAGCCTCCTTTCATGGTTGGTAAATGAGGTGCAGATGGCATTGGCTTTATCACATATCTATTTTTTCACAATTATTCTTCATTATTACCCATGATATTCCATTATCAACTATTATATTCACCATTAACATCCATTAACCACAATTACTCATCATTAACCGCCATTAACCTGTTCTAACTTATATCATCCATTATTTATCAACTTAATCACCATTAACCACCATGAACTGCGTCGAATCCCAGGGCCTTTGCCAGAAGTACTGCGTGCACTTCGTCCCTGCGGATCTGCGGAATGTGGCGGACGCCCAACGTGGTGCCGGCCTTAAAATGGCTGTGTCATGCTGTGTCTATATATATATATATTTATATATATAACATTAATTTGTATATATATATATAACATTAATTTATATATATATAACATTAATATATATATATATATAACATTAATTTATATATATATATATATATTGAACACACACACACACATATATACATATATACATATATATATGATTATATATGCTTATTACATATATATATATGTGCTTATTATATATAATACACTTCCTCGTGCATTGCATTTTGTTTTGTTGCCAGGTTGGATCACTTAAGATTATGTTAGATAAAAAATCCAGATCATGAAGCAGTTTCTGCGATCGTGCTGTTTTGCTGTTTTGCTGGCGATGATCCCGACTGGATTGAACTGCGAAATGCTGTAAGGGGCTTCTATCCCCAATGTTTCTTGCTATCCCCAATGTGTCTTGATTTATACCCCTCATGAACTTGTTCACATTTGTTCACATTTGTTCACCACTTTCCGAAACGTCTTTCAGATTTGCGAAAGTTCAATGGTCGCAACGGTCGTCAGGTTCGCGAATCAACGTCACGTGGAGATGGAGATTTTGGGGTAGCAATCTGACCACTTTCCTGCAGATGTTCCCTCAAACCACTCGATTTAGATTTGGGCTTGTTCAAGAATGGGGTATACCGTATACCAGAATCCTGTGGTTTTAGAAACTACTGTTTCCAAGTCAAGTTCCCATAAATTGGGGCTCAAGCGTCTAAGTATGTTGTGACAAACCCGCTTGAAAACAAATGAGTCGATTTGTTCAAAGCTTTTAGAGTCTTGTAGAAGGTTTGGGCATTTCCGCATCCATATGTTTTGGATAAACTATTCGTACGCTTGTGGGATTTAATGGAAACAACAACTTGTGATGACTCCTTCAGTTGCCATTCTTGGCCCAGTCAACAAGAGCAAGTAAATAAGCTATGCCATGTCGGAGTGCATCCGACAGCTTCATGTTTTGGCAGGATCCGGGAGCACAAGCAACGATGTTGGGGAGCGCTGGAAATTCTGGGACGGACCCAACTCCAGGGTAATCCAAATCCCCAAAGGCAACGGCTCTAATTGATGTGCCTTTACTGCTTGCTTAGCAGTAAGACAGGTCATAACGACCAATTTGCGTTGGTTCATGTATTGGTTCCTCAATTTTGAAATAAACCTGCAGGAAAATGGCCAAATTTGAGGTCCGCAACATGTGGACGGAGTAGAGGAGTTCTTCTTTGGAGCTCATGGTTGGAGCCTTATCCAGCCCTCATTGGGATGTGGGATGCCGTTAAGTTAAGAATGTCAGCCTATCAACATCTTGAAGCTTGGGATACCCAAAATTCATCAAAGTTCTGAGTCATATCCAAAACACACATCTGAACCCTTAAGGAAGATTGGCGACAATGAGAGTCAGTGCAATCACTGAGATCCAGAGAGTAAACCGGATAAACCGGGTGATTCTCGAAGTATTTGGTTCACTGAAGGTGTTTTTTGATGGGTCCTGCCAGTCACGATCCGCGACCTGCAAGATGACCGGATTTCGCAGGGACGTCGAAAGAGAAATGAGTTCGACACGGGTCTGTTTGAAGATCAGGTACTCCCAAATATCTTATAATACGATAATTTCACCCTTCCAAATGGCACACAATTTTCAGACACCCAAAAAGATATCAAATCGCATCTTTTTCTGGAAGGACATATGTGAAGATCAATTAATATTATCAATGGCAATAGATTTGGGTGGTAAACCCATCCACTTCGGACCAAGGTTTTTTTTTTCAGTATCTTATAATTCGATGAAATCCAAATCCCAAGTTGCCGTGGAACGAAACTCCGCATGGTCTTTGTTTGAATTCCCGATTTTTGGATCTCTATGTAATTGATGTGGATGGATTATATTGGATTATAATATATTAAATTACATCCATGCTTTGCGATGTTTCGTGGTGCTTTTCGAAGAAAAACTGTCGATTTTCAAAATTGCTCCACTTAATTATTCGAAGTAAATTATCGCCAGAAGGGCTGGAAAATGGGTCCTTTGACCTCTTGAACTAGCCATTAAACCCCGCCTTGTATGGTCTTGGGAGCAACATGGAGCAACCCGACCCTGATTTTCGGGTGGTGAAAAGCCATGGTTTAGCGAGGCATCCCACGAAGTCCGGGTCTCCCCTGCTGGACCTCTGCCTGGGCTGGGAATTTGCTGATGGCCTGGAGAGCATGCGAGGAATGCGTGCGGAAACCCAGCGTTTTTTCTTCCCCAAACAGTGTGTTCACACAGAGGGGTTCTTATGGTAAGAGCTAAGGCCGGGGTTAGATCAGGGTGCTCCATCTGGGCCGCGGCATTTTTGCCGTGAATTCTCGCATGTGAGATGTCCATGTGCGTTTCGACCGCGAAAGCTCGCGCAAGATGGGGGGCTAGGTTTTGGCTCGTCCGAAGGTCTCGTTTTACTAGCGCTGTTGTAGGGCTCCTGGCATGAAGATCTTGGTCAAGGTCTTGTGGGAAGTTCTTGTAAAGACCCTGGGGAAATCCCCTAAGAGGTCCTTGCATGATCTCGTGCAGGTCCCCTTGTGAGAAGATCTCGTGAAGATCCTGTTGAAATTGTCCTCAAGAGGTCCTTGCTTGGTGCTTGTATGAAAGTTCTTCTGGGATGTTCACAGGAAGTTCTTGCATGAAGATCTTGTGAGATCCTCTATATGTCCTTCTTTGACATCTTTGACGATCTTTTGAAATTCTCTTAGGTGAGGTTCTTGTATGAGGTCCGGATGAGTAGACATATCTTTGCTTCTTGTCCCAAAACAGCTTCCTGCTGCTGCAGTTCCGGTAATGTCTAAGCTGATCTGTTACTGTTCCATAGTTACTGTTGCTTGTATCAGGGACATTGACTTCCTACCCCCCACATACTGTTTGATCTGTTTGGGGTCTCTTGCCGGTGTATTTTTTTTTTTCATATGTGATTTGGTGGCTATAATGAGACATTGATGGAATTTAACCATTGAAAATGGTGGCTTCATGGGATATGCATGGGATTTAATCTAATCAGATTATATATATATATAATATTATAGAATCATCAGATGGTGTTCTATTGGCTCCTGTATTTTATGGTGATTTAACCAGCCAAACTTGTGATTTTTCACCAAGCGAAGTGGTGACACAATGGGAATATCAAACATATGGCCAACTGGGAAATACTGAACTAATACCTGGAGGTTTCTAGCTGGGAAAATCACTAGTCACTAAATGGAGGAACATTTCCAGCTGGCCACGTTTTTTCATAAGACCCAACCATTAAAAATGATTTCATAGGATATGAATGGGGGTATTAATGTGATTTAATGTGGATATATGGGAGGTATTTGCAATTCGAACGTTTGACTGAACCTTCAGCAAGTGAACGACACAACAGATATGCGGCATTTATGAAAGACTTGCGAAAACGGAGGTCGATTGCAAATTTGGAAGACTCTAATTAGGTGCGTGCAGCACTAATTCATTAGTCCATTGTCTCTTTGTCCCACCACCAGAGCATGGGAATTGAGACTGTTGTCGACTCTGGCTCGCATGGTCCCTGTCAAAAGTTGGATGATATACCAAAATATACCCAGCCCCATCCATTATCTGTAGAATCCCATGCCAGTTGGGATATGGGGATACGACCATCAATGTGTATAGCCATAGGATTTTTACCCCACCCGAGTTGGGAGATACCCTGGGTTTGTCCAAAAATGAAGGACTCAACACCACACGATTTCAATTTCAATGAGAACATTAGTATTACCGTTGGTTTTTTTTTGGACCCCTATTTTTTGACAAACAATTCAAACATGTTATTGAGACATGATGGTTTTAAGTGAGTCATTTATGTGTAGAACTTTCTTGTTTATAGAAAGCACCTATTCATTTCATGATTACGTAAGGCATAAACTAAGTGTTTCATTTCATGATTTGTACGCATGATTGCAGATGATTTACATCCAAAAAATCTTGGGGAAATGCAGTTTCTGATGCAAAACTCATCCGGCAGTTGGGAGGGCCCGAGATATTTCCGTATTTTGGTGGTTGGTTGTTACATTGAGATGTACCAGTTGTTTCATGGTTTGGGATTATATTATCCAGAGGTGTTGAGCCTGGCTGTTGGAATATGGGTTTCCTACCTCCGATTGCGTGGTTTATTTCGTGTCGGAGCTCGTTTTGAGGTAATTTGGGCAGTTAAATCCGGGTGATTGTGTTAGCGATCAATATGTGCGAAATATGTTCATATGTTTATATAAAAGAAGAATACTAGCAACAATGATCATCAGAATGATGACAGTTAATGTATAAACCAGGTTGTTCCCGACAACGACAAAAGATCTCCCAGATTTTTTTTGAACCTCCCAGGATCACGACGCTTGGAGAGGTGGACGAAACTGCGTAAAACATCAGCTGCTGGGTCTCGTGATTGATCTGGGTGAAGTCTGGGTGAAGTGATGAAGTGGGTCGCTTTTGGTGAATGGGTGATATTAAGATGTTTTCAAGGTTGCATTAACCTATCCCATAGAAATGTTATTTCAAAGAGTTTTAAAGCTTGCTGGCCATATCTATCCATCATCTAATCCGTATCATCATGCTAAGGCCACATCTAGGCACGGATCAATTATATCCAATTATATCCAAATATATACAAATATATCCAAATAGATCCAATATTTCGCTCCATATCAATCTCTCTCTCTCTCTCTATTTTATATCTACATCTAAGAGCACTGGTAGATCCTTTTCGCCCGTGGACCATGGGCGGGGCATCTCCGAGCTTGGCCTTGATGTCTGAGTTTCAGACTCTGTGCTTTTTACGAAGTGTGAAACAGAGGATAAGATAGGATAAGTACCCTCCAAAAATAGTTTCATTTGATGTCAGCAATGCCAAGTTGACCAATGTTGTATTCGAAGATATTCTAAGATATCCCAGTATGTTTTAATGACTGTATGTTAATGCGGTATGTAGATTAAACCCATGAACCGGGAATCCCGCCCGTGGAGAGCTTGGCGGATCGGCGCCACAGCCCCCACCTGAGTACCTTGAATGGTTGTGAATTCAACATGGGATATACAGCCAACCAACATGCGGACAATGAATTTGATAAGGTCATCATCATCATCAACAACATCATCCTCATCATCATCATCCTCCTCCTCCTCCTCGTCACCATCATCACAAAACAGGGATGGAGAATTAACGTTGCCCGTGACAAGGCAAGTCATGACTTCTCGAGGCAAAAGTGGCTGTGCCGCCATTGTTACCAGCATGCGCTCAGTGGAGTTGGGGCGGCCCAGATGGATCAGCTGGCAATAGTGAGCAAAGAAATATTTTTTCACCAATAGTGCCCAGCCCATGCCGGGGAGGAAGTTTCGAAAACATGAAATGACTATAAGAAATCAATGGCCTGTAGGAAAGTTTTTGCGATGCAGGAGCAAAGAAGTGTTGAAGTCGTGAGATGGACCAACGAATGAGCAAATGGTTGTTGAGATGGCAATGAAATGAAAGAATCCATGCTGCACAGCTCACTGAATGAACCAATGAATCAAGGGTTCAACGAATCAATGAATCAGTGGATCAATGAATCAACACACCAACAAATCAATGAATCAGTGAATCACTGAATCAAGGAACCAATGAGTCAATGATTCGGAGATTCAATGGATCAAAGAATCATTAATGAATCAACGAATCATTGAATCGATGAGTCAATGAATCACTGAATCAGTCAGTGAACCAGGGAATCAACGAATCAATGAACCAATGAACCAAAGGTTCAACAATCAGTGAGTCAATGAACCAATGAATCAGTGCATCAACAAACCAATGAATTAATGAATCAAAGGTTCAGCTATTCAGTGAGTCAATTAAAATCAGTGAATCAACAAATCAGTGAATTAACAAATCAATGGTTCAACAATTCAGAGATAGGTCTGCTCACGGCCCACGGGCCCAAGGGCACACGGGCACATGGGCACGCGAGCAATCCACAGGCACACGGGCAATCCACGGGCACACGGGCACACGGGCACACGAGCAATCCACGGGCACACGGGCACCCGGGCACACGGGCACCCGGGCACACGGAGACACACGGAGACACAGCCAAATCACGGGCACACGGGCACAGGGGCAATCCACGGGCACACGGGCACACGGGCACACGAGCAATCCACGAGCAATCCACGGGCACACGGGCACACTGGCACCCGGGCATGGGCCCACAGTCAATCATCCACGGGCACAAACAACAAGGCAACCACATGGTCCTGCAACAAGAAACTACAACGACGGGCAAGGAGCTCATAATGCTGCTATGACATCACGCTGCGGCAACCGGTTGACACACAGACAGACAGACGGACGGACAGACAAACAGATAGATAGATAGATAGGTAGATAGAAAGACAGACACACAGACACTCACAATTCAGTAGGCCAATGAATCAATGAACCAGTGAACCAACAAATCAATGAATGAATGCATGAATCAGTGAACCGTTGAACAAATGAACCAAGGAGCCAATGAATCAATGAATTTTGCCAACCTCATCCTCCAAAACAGCTCAGATTCGTTCAATTTGTTTGGCGGGTTTGAAGTGCAAATCGAACTCTTGCTACAGTCTCGTGCACATTTTGTCAGTTTCATCTGCCAAAAGTGTTCCGATCCCTTCAGTTTTTTTTTGCGATTGTGAAGTGCAAAACAATTTCTTTGAAATACAGTCTCGTGCGCATTTTGCCAACTTCACCTTCCAAAATTGCTCCGATATGCTCCGATACCTTCAGTTTTTTTGCGATTTCGACATGCAAATCGAGCTCTCGTTACAGTCTTGTCCACATTTTGCCGACCTTATCTTCCAAAAGTGTTCCGGGCGTGACAGATTTTTAACATTTGAAGTGCCAATCGAGCTTTCCCAACAGTCTGGTGCGCATTTTTCCGACCTCCTCTTCTAAAAGTGTTCTGAAGCCTTCAGTTTTTTTTTACATTTGAAGTGCAAATCAGGCTCTTGCCACGGTCCTGTACACTTTTTGCCAACCTTATCTTCCAAAAGTGCTCCGGCATCGTCAGTTTTTCGACATTTTGAAATGCAAATCGAGCTGCCACAGTCCTGTGCACAGTCCTGTGCACTTTTTGTTGACAATTTTCGCAGCTCGAGGCCCGGAACCGCGGAAACACCCTACTTTGGCGACCCCAGGAGCCCGAAAAAACACACGGTTTCGTGTGGAGAGTGTCTTCACCCGTGAATTCACACGCTTCCGAACTGTTACGCTTCCCAACTAACTTGACAACTTACTTGATCATGGGTGGTTGACATGACGATGTGGCTGACATGATGGTGGGAATGCTAACCAGGTAACCATGACAATCGTCTGTAACTCGGAAGTTTTCAAACTGAACTTCCTTTGATGAGTCAACAACCACACCAAAAAATGCCGTTGTTTTTTCAAAAGTATTTTATAATCATTTTTTGTTGCTTTTTCTCTTGTTGCAGCCCCCAAGGTTGAGCCATAGCCATACTGATATGATGGGGTTGATTGAATTGCGAGAAACCATAACAGTCTATGTTGAGGAACAACCGAAGGGTTCAAGGCACACGGAAGAGCACCGTCTACCACTATTTGGCTTGCTGGAAACTCGACAGTTGAAGGATTTCGACAGGATTTGCGAGTTTTTTTGCGACAGAAAACAACAGTTCATCTTTTCGAACCCACGCGAAGCGTGCAACTTGCAGACAAAGCGCACGAGGGTGATTTTGTAATTTTGACATGCAGTATGTCATACTGTCATACATGGAATATGCATGTATATACATAATATATGTATAACTGTATAACCGACAAAATTAGCGAACAATTAAAGTAGTAAGGAGTGGACTCGGGATGTTCAAATTTGTGTGGACACCCTCACAACGGATAGGGGGCCTTCCACTTACCGATACCCTATTTTTACATATAGCATGGAAGTACACACCTTCACAACCGATAGGGGACCACCCACTTTGGCCATGTCCATTGCAATTAGTAAATAATTTTGTTCGCCACATATATATATATATATGGTCCCGTCCTCCGTCTCTCCACCCCCTCCCATGGGTTGGGTCCCCAGGTAGCACCCCCCTTTCCCTTCTATTTGCAAGCTATTGGCAGCATTTCTGAGGTCCAGCCTCGTATTTGCTAGGTCTTTGCAGCATTTCTGACTACCAGCCTCGCATTTACTAGGTACATGCTACCTTTTAGGCGACCTACGTAGCACACATACTCCCTCAAAGTACCTACGTGCCACCTATAGTCATATATACATGTGCTATGTATCTACTTCCTATTTACTACCTGTGTACTCTCACAACACTACATGTGTTGAACATATGCCGTACCTACCATACATTCCAATGATGCCATGCGTCCCATTCCTATCCCTTGGGTGTAGCCTAACCTCTGTAACAGTCGGAAAATGGATTTTCTATGAAAACCTCTTCAAAAGGAGCACAAGGAATTTCATGCATTTTTCCCGTTTTCTTTCGTGCAAAAATCGTGCTCTAAATCGTGCTGTTTTGGTGTTCCCCTCCGTGCAAAAATCGTGCTCTAGATCGTGCTCTTTGGTGTTTTCCTCCGTGCAAAAATCGTGCTCTAGATCGTGCTAGTTGGTGCTCCCCTCCGTGCAAAAATCGTGCTCTAGATCGTGCTGTTTTGGTGCTCCCCTCCGTGCAAAACTCGTGCTCTAGATCGTGCTCTTTGGTGTTCTCCTCCGTGCAAAAATCGTGCTCTAGATTGTGCTAGTTGGTGCTCCCCTCCGTGCAAAAATCGTACTCTAAATCGTGCTGTTTTGGTGCTCGCTCCGTGCAAAAATCGTGCTCTAGATCGTGCTCTTTGGTGTTCTCCTCCGTGCAAAAATCGTGCTCTAGCTTGTGAAAGCTGTTACAGACAATGGGCCAGACACAACCTATCCCTATCCTACATACCACACATACCATACATATGAAACACAATTACCACACCTACCATGCATACAATACCAAACATACATGCGATACATACCATACCTACCTTACATAGGAAACATTCCATACCCATCATAATAACCATACTAACCATACATACCATACATACTGTCATATCAAACATACCATACCCAACAGACTTACATACCATACTTACCATCCATACAATAACAACCATTCATGCCATACATAGCATACCTACCATACATACCAAACATACCATACTTTCCAGACATGCCATACCAGACCGACCATACACACCATACATACCCAACATACCAACCACACCCCCACCACACCACAGGGGGGGAGGGGGACAGTACCACACCCCCACCACACCACAGGGGGGAGGGGGAAGATCTCATATGGGGGCAGTATATGGGACCCATCCCATGGTGGGGCGGGAGGGGGGAGGTGGCAGGGCCTGGTGCATATATATATATACATGTATGATATATATATATATACATATTATACGTAAATATATATATATATGATATAGACATATGTGCATGTATGTATGTAATGTAATGTAATGTAATGTAATGTAATGTAATGTAATGTAATGTAATGTATGTATTATACAAATATGAATCTTGAATGGTTCTAATGACTATGCCTTGAAAGTATACCCATAAAGAGCAGGTACACGCGCCATGTTTGGTCAGGCGCCGGCGCGGCCAAAGATCTACACGCCACGTGAACGGGGTCAAAGGCGGTGCAGTTTTCACCGAGGGATTTTTCCAACCAAAACCGCCGTCCAACTAGGAAATATTGGGTATGTATACATCACCAATAGTTGAACCACTCAAAATGCTTCTGTCCGATCTCATGAAATACAGGTTGATAGGTTTTCTGCATATGGGCTATCATAATCCTTAATAACCAGGTAGTACAACTTTTCATAACGACCAATCAACCAGTCACTATATATAGGATAATTTTTCTGAATGGTTCAATTGGTTGGTGGTTTCATTCAGACTTTATCCATTCAACTGGGATGTTGGGATGATGATCACGAGAGCTGAAAATATATGTTTCAAGGGGCTCAACCACCAGCCGCTGCAGCTGTTCATTGCTGATCCAGCAGGCCAGCAAGGCAACTGGGCATGTGCATGGAACCAGGTCAGGCGGATCAACATTCATCTTTCCGCCATTTTTGCGTCACCTCGCAGCAAAATTTAAGCTCAAGGATCTTCAGCTCAACAGCCGAAGCCATGTCCAGTTTGGAGTGTCTTGGGTTTTCACATGTTTTCACAGAATGGACCTTTTATGGGGCTGGATGTGCATCCCAGGTTGATCCTGGTTCCCAAAAAACGCTAGGGTGACAGTCTAATTCCCTCCAAGTAGGGTCCGGTGATTGGGATCCCTTGGTCCCTTGAAGATTCCATGGTGATTACGTGACACTATCCATCCCAGTATCCATGAAGAAAAGATCAAAAAGGGTGGAGTTGTATGGCCTAGTGCCCCGTGCTCGGGTGTTCGGTCCCACCAGCGGGGTGGAAGACAGAACAAAAAGGGTGGAATTGTGATGATCGGGGCCATGGATGGCTTAGAAAAAAATGATAAACAACAAGATTTATGGGTTTTTTAGGACCTGTTTGGGGCTGTCAATTTGCAGTGATCATTTCTGACATGGCATAAATTTCGGAACCACAAGATGCTCGATTTACTACGTAAAAACATCCAAAAAACGTGTGAACAAATGGCAACAAGAACAGCCTGAAAGATGGTGATGGAGTCCAGGCTCTCAAATCACCGGTAGTAATCCCACCCCCATAATATTAAAGACCTGCCCAAACAATGTGAAAATCCCCTACATCCACCATGGTTTCTGAGAGATGTGGGAAAGGGCATAAACGGGTGCATGCCACAGGAAGGTACTGTAACCATTTTTTTGTGGACAACCCCAGGTCTGATAGCTAAATGGTTCATTTTGTTTGCCATAAAGGGGGTGTGTATACCATGCCCAGTTATGACAAGTTGGTTTTCAAATATTCTAAGGTTACGGTTAGCCGGTTAGCCACGTTTTTTGATCGTTTTTTCCAAGTCCGTTTGGTGAATTTGAACAATGTTCAACATTAACATTTCTTCAACGCATATAATATGCCTAGATTAGTATATGTAAAATATGTATATGTGTATTTAAAATTGTATAGTGTTTATGATATACATATATATACACATATATATGTATATAGTAAGGGTTTGTCTGAGAATAGGGTAACCCTAAATCCAAAGGTTCATCATCATTTTCCCCAATTAAATTGGCAATTTAGGGGACTACCCTAGTATCAGACAGACCCCTACATATGTGTATATATATATGAACGCATATATCCATATATATATATCCAAATATATCCAAATATATCCAAATATATCCAAGTATATCCAAATATATCCAATTATATCCAAATATATCCAAATATATCCAAATATATCCATATATATCCATATATATATATTTACATGTTGTGTATATATATATATATATACGTAAATATGTATATATGCATGTATATGGATCCACATATATATATATATATATACACGTATATATGTATATATATACACATACATTCAGTATCCATAATACAAAAGATACACAATATCCATAATATATATACATATATATATATACTGGTATGTATCGGTATACACATCGACATTTTTTTTTTGAGCTGATCCGTTGCCTCCAAGGTGCCGAAAGACTTTTCTGGAGGTGGTTCCCAGCAGCAGCTGGTGCCCCGCTGTGCGGCGTTCGAAAAGCTGCACGGCGCTGGGTGACTGCCTGGTGGATGCAGCTGGGATGGTGCTGGAAAGGTGGAATGGGTGCAAAGAGTGGGCTACAGACGTGCAGTCCCAGTTAGAAGTGGATATATAAGCACAGTGAAAAGGTGTTGTATCATGTTATATCTCAACTCATGGGGGTTTAGGACATACTTATATACACCCATTTGTAACCTCAACTGCACCCCCAAAGTAGCTATGGAAACCCATGGTTGTTTCCCTTGCACGGGATCTACATTCATGATCATGAATTTGGTGGCATTTTTCTGTCATCGATTCCATATCTATGGGTTTAACCAATCAACGTTGGGATTTTAGCATCCAACATGGGGATTCTTTGCGACAACTATGGTGGTTTTTGGCGGGATACAAAATTCCATGGTGTAGCTTGGGGGTAATCAAGCTGCGACGGCATTGGAAAGGTGGAATCATCCCATGATTAGCCATTCTTTCAGGTTGGTGAATGAGGATGTTTTAGCCATGTACTAAAAAAACAGTAGATGTAAAAAATCCTTGTTTTTTAAAGGCGTGCCATTTTTGGATGAGCAAATCATCATTTTTTCGCCAATGGGTATGTATGAGGTTATTCAACCTGCTGTTTTTTTTTGCAGGATATCTAAGATTGGCTGTGAGCATGGCACGGACATGTTTTGGGAAGTGATGGAAGAAAGGATCTATGGACATAGATCAAAAACTCAGAGAGCTAGTGGATGTTTGGGAATTAGATCAGCCGAATTGTAGATGATCAATCATCAATTCCCTATAGTAACTGAAAAACACAGTGGGAATTGGTTCAACCTTGGCTCAACAGAATTGACCCCAAAGACTCGCTTTGTGGAAACGTAAACAGTGGACGATTCTTGAAGGCCGATGGCTTGCTACCCATAGGGTCATCAAACGTGGCGAGCTAGGAAATCGCCGAACTCAGTGGAGGTTGTTTTTACGGGATAATGTATAAATGGAAGATTTTCCAGCCATGTTTGATGACACAAAATTGGGTCAAATCATGGTTGGTTATGCCTCAAAATGATTGATGCGAAAGTTTGCGTGCTTTCAGATTCAAAAAACGGAAATGCCCTTTGTGGGTTTGTTCCAACAGCGACAAGCAGATGGACATGCGTCAAAGTTCAAGACTTGAAAGCCAAAGTAAGTATACTATAAGAAACCCCGGAATTGGATCAATCTTTGGCGGACATGATAGTGCCTTTAAAGATATACCTGTCATGGTGACACCTCTCTGGATTGCGATTGGCGTGTCACGAGCCAAGGAGACAGTGGACACGAGGGCTGATGACCTCTTACGCCGAATGTCCGGGTACTTTGCGTGGCAATCCGCGCCCTGGATGACTTGAAATGGGGGGCCCAGACCCCATTTACAGACACACCCATATATCCATATATGTATATGTATATGTATGTGTATGTGTATGTGTATGTGTATGTGATATATATATATATGTATCCTGTATTGTTTGAATGTTATCAGTTGTATATCCCCATGAAGCACTGCAAATTACCCACATAATTGCTGATCATCATTTTCCTCATTACAATGCTCATGCATTGCCAGATGAGCGCCATAGTTTGTTAGGAGATTTGAGCCATGATTTTTTTGGGAATCATTTCTGTGGATAGGATATGGCGAGAATGATTTTGATCTCCAGTCAGTCATCAAGCATGGCTGGCTGGGAATTGAGTGGAACGATTGAAGCTTATCTATGCAAAAAAACGAGGAAGATGTTTCACTTTCCGCCTCACGAACTTCTGACTAGATAAAAACGCCTCACTGACCACTGCACGGATCCAAAGCAATTCGTTTGTTTGGAAAACCATTGGCTTCGTACAACTTTGATTCCCAACTCTGTGTTTCTTCCATAAAATGAATCGAGACTATAGCTGGGCCAAACCAATTGTAGTATATAGTTGTTGTAGTTGTATAGTCGTAGTTGTAATGTTGTAGTTGTAGTTGTAGCTGTGGTAGTAGTTGTAGTTGTAATATTTTGTAATTGTAGTTGTAAAATGATGTGAGCACGAGCGAAAAGTAGCAGGGACCCATATAAGATGAGCGGTCAATCCTGAACAGATCACGGTTTACCACGTTTTGTCACGGCATTTCCGACAAATGTCATAATTTTAAGTGGCGAAAAAGATAATTCATCACGATTTGTCACGATTTTGAGTTGCATATGACCATGATCAACTCGCATGCGCATCTTCCAAATAGAGGATGCCTGACGGTTTTGCTTACGTGCCACACATTGCCCGTGCTCTTCCGATGGTTTTTCCAGCTTTCCGTTTCCTCGCGCCAGGACTGGCCTGAAACCATTTCCTGTGGCAGCAAGGGGCATCCTTTCCTATGCAAAGCTCCGTGCATCCGGGCGGTTCATGGAACTTGCATGAAGGGCCCCAGGTGCGAGTTCTGCCATTTGGAGCACAACCATCCGAAGCGCAAACTACGTCGAGAGGACCCCGGTTGTGCCACTGCTCGTGGTGGTAGTAATGTAGGCTTTCATTGCGGCCCTTATTTTGCTTTCTTTGGAAATCCTCTGGACTCCTGTTCATTAGAATTTATTAGAACCATATATGAACCCTATACTTCCGCTACCTAGATTTTCTAGGTCTTTGGATGTAGAGGGTATACATATATATATATACATAGCTTAGTTGCCTAGCTTTCTGTTTGACGTTCTAGCATTGGCTCGATGGCGGTCCAAAGCCGGAAAGGGTAAGGATGCTGACAGCATTTGAATTTTCCGGTTAAACATCACGGAGACTCCCAGTGCTTGTGTTCCTGACAAAGGAGAAAACCAAACCTAAAACCATATATATATATATATGTATATTACACATATTTATATATCTGCTGTGTATTTGAAATTTTGGGGAAGACCTTAAAAATTGATGGCTTATCATCATGTCTGCAAAAGATTGCTTGGTATTAACATTGGCAAAGACGGGCTCATTTCTACCACAGGTGATCACGCACTTTAAACCACCGTTTTCCCATCGATAGATTTCCCATATTCTGGTCGCTTCGCGACGATAACCGCCAGCACCGGAGTGTTAGCTCCGAAGTTCCAATGAAACCATATGTGTTCTATGTTGGGCCTTTGTAGGGCTCATGTTTGGGGTATGTTGGGCTCATGTTGGCTCTATGTTGGGCTGTGTTGGGCTCATGTTGGGCCATCTTGGGCCTCTCTTGCGCCCATGTTGGGCCTATATTGGCCCTATGCTGAGCCATGTTGGGCCTATGTTGGGCCTATGTTGGGCCTATGTTGGGCCCATGTTGGCTATATTGGGCCCATGTTGGGCACATGTTGGGCCATGTTGGGCCATGTTGTGCCTATGCTGGACCCATGTTGGGCCTATATTTGGCCATGTTGAGCCCAAGTTTGGCAACTTGGCCGATTTGAGGTCCCGTTAAAAAACGTGGAGAAACACAGGATTCTAGAGCAATAAAGGCCCCCCCAAGCAAAAGCTTAGCTATTGCAATTGCTTCCGGGTAATGCGTGCACACAAAAACCGCCTCGGCACCTTCGGTGCAGGCGGATTTTGATGGTGAAACCAGCATTTTCGCATCGATTTCTATAGATTTCTCATATGTTTCATGGCTGCCAAGTGTTTCTTGTGCCAGGAAAGGCAGCGATTGGAGGCGATGCCGGAACTGATGATTCTGCTCATCCTCCAATGGCACGTCGAGCGCCACGTCACCAAGCTCCGCCTTGAAGGTGAGATGCGACTTCTGTTGCTGGAGAAATTTGAGCACCTTAAGATGATCGATGGTTTTAGGGTATTTATACGATTTTATACGTATAATTTTAGGCTATTTCAGGCTGATTGTCATTGGGAAATAATATCTGGCTGGACAGCGAGATTAGATTATTTTAGATATTTTAGGTGGTATGATGTATGATGTCACATTAAAAAACATAGGTGTAAATATGGAGGTGCTTTTGTTAATTTTTGGTGGTAAGAATAAGATTTTCAGCATATCAGCTGACGGCACCAAGGTTGGCCGTGCTGGAACGACGTGTTAAGTTGCTGAGGGAGGCTCAGCCACTCACACATGCTGAGTTCAGCTGGGCCATGGAGAGCCTATGGACCTTGCGTGGTTTCTCCCTTGGCCGCTTGTTTGACGTTTTCCAGCTTTGGCCTCAAGTGGATTCCGACTTCAAACGTGAAGTGAAGTTCTTAGTAGACAGTGCGCGCGAGGGAATGGCCACGCCACGTGCGGCATGAGTGGAGCAGATGGACGCTTTCGGATTTGCATTGAGGTGATGTGTCTTCGACAAATTTCTTCTAGGATCATTTGCGCCGCTGACAACTTCTGCGGTGTAGGGGATCGAGAGGAAATTACTTCAGCCCCAAAATTGTCATCACATCTAATAGATTCAATAGATAGCAATATAGATATGGATACTGATGATACTGCTTTTTCCTGGCGCCACAAGTCTCTGCTTCACATGCTTCACATGAAGAAGACCATCTGTTGAAATCCTGGCCACGCCTGACACACACACACACAGTGACAGGTGCCAGGTGCGGTCACTTCCAACGTGGTGCTACGTGGTGCTGGTGCACAGGTCCCAGCAACACAGGTCACCACAGCACCACTGGATGCAGCAGTTTGCAAGTCGCAGTGTTGCCTCATGTCTCTATGTCGCCCCATCAAAACTTTCTAGAAAATCCATGAAATTCCCAAGAAAACACGAAAGCATCATTTCTTTGAATTGCTTTGCAGCAGAATTCAGTAAATACACACTGTTACTTACTATGAAATACATCTTGATTCATGATATAACTTCACTGTTCTGTTACTGTTGTGATGAGTATTTGCACGTAATTTTACCAAACTAAGGAGGCATCTTGAAGATATACTCACGATCCCCAATCTTCCAGTTGCCTCGCAACTAAACCCCCAAAATCATCCAAAATCCCCTGGTTACGTATGTCAGAAGTTGCAAAGCCGACTGAGAACACTTGCAATTTCTGGAGTTTTCACATCAAGGCCTGAGAGCAGAACAAGCAGCAACATCCAGTGGTATTGGTAGTGTCGCCTTCATGGGTTGCTGATGATAGGAAATCGGCCTTGTGGCCTTGTGCTCCGGACATGTCAGATTGGAGTCGGAAACTTCCGTTAAACGCACTTTGGAATAGCCGTGATTCACGACTCCCAGCTGGATGGAAATGAGCAGGGTTCAAGACTTCCCCTACAGGTGGTAATGTGTTTAGGAAGACTTGTCTTTTGTTTGGCTGTCCAGCGTAAAACCCTGGGTGTCGTAAGCTGCAGCATTCTTGCTGATAGATGCATGTCGTAAGCCCATGCGTAAGCATTCCTGTCAGCATGTCCTAAGTGGCCGCGTAAGCAATTCCTTGCAGGAAAACCACAATTTGGGCAATTCAAGTTGCGTAAGTGTCGCGTAAGACCGTCTCAGACCCCATCCCCCGCGTAAGTCAAAATTGTGGTCGCGTGAGTAGTGCATAAGCCCATGCACAAGCAAACCCATGCAACATATGCGTGGTATCATACCTTTTGGACGCTGCTCAAATGTCATGCTACCCATCCCAGTTAAAGACACCCAGAACTCCTAGCTGGAAAGGGTGGTTTTGCGTTTATAATGGTTCTTATATTGTTTGAAATCCTTGATTGAAATATGTCGTGGTGTTTTCAACCCAACAAAATGAAATGGTTACCACATCTGTTACCATCAATAACGTACTGACTCGTTTTATGTACTGTTCTTGTTTGGAGTTGGCTCAACCACCAACCAGATTGCTAGTTTTGCCCATCTTCCAGTTGCATGTCCGCAAGTCTCCCTTGGCCGCTTGTTTGACGCCAAACTTGAAGGTAATGTGAAGTTCTGAGTGGATAGTGCGCTGGCATGGATGTAGCGCCACGGACGCGTGTAGGGGATCAAGAGGAAATTACTTCAGCCCCAAAATTGTCATCACATCTAATAGATTCAATAGATAGCAATATAGATATGGATACTGATGATACTGCTTTTGCCTGGCGCCACAAGTCTCTGCTTCACATGCTTCACATGAAGAAGACCATCTGTTGAAATCCTGACCACGCCTGACACACACAGTGACAGGTGCCAGGTGCGGCCACTTCCAACGTGGTGCTACCTGGTGCTGGTGCACAAGTCCCAGCAACACAGGTCACCACAATTCACCACAGCACCACGGGATGCAATGACCGAAACATTTGATATTTTTGATTTCCAAAAATGCCCTCTTAAATGGTGTAGATATCGAGCCATTGCAAATCCACAATGCTTCAGGGAAGTTGTGGCGAGGTGCACGGTTCTCTATGCAAACCCTACTGCATGCTCACAAACTATTGAATCAAGACCTGAAGAACAGTTGAAAACCGGTCGCATTCATCCACTTGTGCGTGTAGTGTTGCATCCTTTGGCAATTTTGAATAGAATTTCGACCGCTTCAAAGCCGGTGAAGTCATGGAAACATCATTTTGAAGGGCATGCCAGGCATGCCACCTGGTTGATGGCTTCATACCTATATTATATGTATATATATATGTTATATTATATATTATATATTGTATATTGTATATTATATATTATACAATATATGTATATCATCATTTGACTATATATATATATATATAGAGGAGTTTTTTCTGTTTTGTTTTCTTTTTGTTTTTTGTTTTCCAGCCTGGCTTTATGGCTTTTGTGGCTTCTCTGGCTTTTGTGGGTGTGTGGCTTTTGTGGCTTTCATGCTTTACCTATCTATCTATCTCATCTAACCTAATCTACAGTAATCTAATCTAACCTAATCTATATAATCTAATCTAATCTAGCCCAATCTAGTCTTATCTAATCTTACCTTATTTTATCCTATCTTATCTAACTAACCTATCCAATCTATCTAATCTATCTAAACTATCTATCTATCTATCTATTTATCTATCTATCTATCTATCTATCTATCTTTCTACCTATCTATCTATCTATCTATCTAACTATCTATCTATCTAACTATCTATCCTATCCTATCCTATCCTATCCTATCCTATCCATCTATCTATCTATCTATCTATCTATCTATCTATGCTATCTATGCTATCTATGCTATCAATGCTTTCTATCCTTCTATCCTTCTATCCTATCTATCCTATCTATCCTATCTATCCCTTATCTACCCTATCTACCCTATCTATCCTATCTATCCTATCTATCCTATCTATCCTATCTATCCTATCTATCCTATCTATCTATCCTATCTATCTATCCTATCTATCCTATCTATCCTATCTATCCTATCTATCCTATCTATCCTATCTATCCTATCTATCCTATCTATCCAATCTATCCAATCTATCCGATCTATCCGATCTATCCGATTTATCCTATCTATCCGATCTATCCGATCTATCCGATCTATCCGATCTATCCGATCTGATCTATCCAATCTATCCGATCTATCCGATCTATCCGATCTATCCGATCTATCCGATCTATCCGATCTATCCGATCTATCCGATCTATCCTATCTATCCTATCTATCCTACCTATCCTACCTATCCTATCTATCCTATCTATCCTATCTATCCTACCTATCCTACCTATCCTATCTATCCTATCTATCCTATCTATCCTATCTATCCTATCTATCCTATCTATCCTATCTATCCTATCTATCCTATCTATCCTATCTATCATATCTATCATATCTATCCTATCTATCCTATCTATCCTATCTATCCTATCTATCCTATCTATCCTCTCTATCCTATCTATCCTATCTATCCTATCTATCCTATCTATCCTATCTATCCTATCTATCCTATCTATCCTATCTATCCTATCTATCCTATCTATCCTATCTATCCTCTCTATCCTCTCTATCCTATCTATCCTATCTATCCTATCTATCCTATCTATCCTATCTATCCTATCTATCCTATCTATCCTATCTATCCTATCTATCCTATCTATCCTATCTATCCTATCTATCCTATCTATCCTATCTATCCTATCTATCCTACTCATCCTACCTACCTATCCTATCTATCTATCTATCCTATCCTATCCTATCCTATCTATCCTATCCTATCCTATCCATCTATCTATCTATCGAATCTATCTAATCTATCTATCTAATCTATCTAATCTATCTAATCTATCTAATTTATCTAATTAATCTTATCTATCTTATCTATCTTATCTATCTTATCTATCTATCTACCTACCTATCTACCTATCTATCCTATCATCCTATCATCCTATCTATCCTATCCTATCCTATCCTATCCTATCCTATCCTATCCTATCCATCTATCTATCTATCTATCTATC